GCCGGCGGGCGGGCTGGCTGGCGGGCCGGCCGGGGACGCGGGCGATGGGCCCGGCTGGGCTCGGGAAGCGGGCGGGCGAGGCCGCCCTTGCCGCCGCCCCGCCTCGGCCGGCACCGCGCTGCGGAGCGGAGGGACACCAGCGGCTCCCCTCCGTGATTCCTCCCCGGCCCGGGCGGGCGGCGGGACAAAGGGAGGCGATGTGGGAGCGAGGGATGCAAGGCGGCTTTTCTCACATCCGGTCTTCTTCGTGGGAAGGTTCCGGCGCCGCTTCCCGACTCCCTCCCCCTCCTCGCCGGCTTCCCCTCCGGCGGGTCCGTCGCCCCACATCCCTTTCTTCGGGGGGCGCCAGTTACTTGGGAGGCTGCGCTGCGCCCGGGCGGCTGCGAGAGTGAGCCGCATGGACCGCGGTTGGGCGGGCTGCCCGGTGATTGTGCCCAGAGGCGGGCTGCCCATCCTTGTCCCCAGGAGTTGACCCCCCTGAGCCTGCTGGGGTTGCTTTACGGAAGCTGGCGGCAGGCAGGCAGGGGCCCAGTCGAAGAAACATGACGGGTTATCCTTAGATAGGAGGTGCCTCCAGGTATCGCCTTCTGGGATGGAGAGCTAAGAAAGCCATGCTGGATGAGGCCAAGGGCCCATCGGATCCAGCTTTCTATTCATACAGGTGTCAAGCAGTTACACGTGGGAAACAGAATGTAGGATAGGAGTGTGGTGGCATTTGCTTAGTTGTGTCTTTCAGCGAGTGGTGTGCATAGTTATACTGTTTCCAATACTATAGCCATCATGCCTAGTAGCTACAGATAGTCTTCTCCATCCATATATTCAAGTCTCTTTTAAAACCATCCAGATTTGTGTACATCGCTGTATCTCACAGTAGTGATTTCCATATTAACCATGCACAGTGTAAAGTGATTTTATCTGTCTTGACTCTCCCATCAGTCAACTTCACAGGATGATCACAGGTTCCAGGTTTATGATAGATTAGTATTGTAAGTATTTGCTTGTCCTCTGAGGGTAACATTTCATGCATCTGAAAGATGGCCAACCTGAAGGGTAGGTTACTTCCTCCATCCGCTGATCTAGGCATAAAGGCCTTCATTGGAGGCTTTCCTCTTGGAAAGGGCAAACTTTCTCTTCGACTCAAGTGCTTGTATAACTTCCAACTTGAAAGTAGTGGTTTTTCTATTACTGCCTTTTTTTAGAGCACACTCCATTGGTCATTTTGGCCAGGACAAATCAGTGATGGAACCTGGCATTTGTTGATTGGGAATTACTGCCCCGTGATGGAACTGGGGTGCCTTTTCTGGCAGGAAACTGTAGTAGGGATGTCATTTCGTTACCACACCGTAGGCAGCTTTTAAAGCGTAAAAGGATCTAGTGATGCTACACCAGGGCAATAGGGGAAGAAGTCCATGGCCCATGAATAAGGTGAAGAAGTCCCATCCCACCCAGAGAACAGTGGCATAGGTGGAACCCTGACCTGATAGAAGTAGCACTAATGCTCAGCATGACTTGGAGATGTTTTCTTAGCAAGTTTACTGCCATCCTTATGTCTAATACACCTGATTATTAGCCTTTTCTGTTTGAGTGCTTATATTCTGAATAGTCTTTTATAAATTTTCTTTGCTTCTGTACTGAAGAAGTCTGCTCATCTGGTTCCTTAAACAATCTGTGGGTTGGTTCACTTGTAGTTTGGCATCACTTGAACTTGAATCTTGTTCTTGTGTGTGCTTGCTACTTTTTCTTGTGCACTTTGTTTTGATGTGCTTAATAATGCTTCCCATTGTCATGGAAAGCACAATTTGCTGTTAGGTCTGACTCAAGAAAAGGATAGGATTGCAAATCACTATTTGAGCCATGCTTGCAGTCCTGGTTGAGAAGGATTGGATCCAGCTCAGAGACAATTAAATTGCAGTGTATGGTGTGGAGAATGGGAGCATGAACAGCACCCGTTTCCTTTGTGACACATCAGACCAGTTGCCCTTTGACAGATGAATGGGTACCAAGTGCAGTTGTAGGAATGGCAGGATGTGTCCCAGTTTTACACAGAAGCTGCCATTTTACATGACCAGGCATATGCTCTACCAATGTGCATGTTGGCTGCAATTCCACTAATCCAGGTGCAATCCAGGGAAAATGAAACACGCTTGCATTCCAGTTGGAATTCTAGTTCTCCATAACTTTACAGGGCTGTCAGCATTTTCTGTTGAAGGAGCTTTGGTAGCTTTGCTGTTGTATGTACAACTTATACTACTACCCTGTAGCACCTGGGTAGTGCCAATATATTGTCTGTCTTTTCAAACCTCATCTTCAGAGCATGCAAGCTCAAAATTATGAAGCAGAGCAAGGCAAGCTTCTCTTGAACTATCACTCCACTAGGCAGAACTGCTGAGATAAGCAGTTAGCGCTAGGTAACACCATCCTATACAGGTTTAGACAGAAGAAAGTCCTAGAGCTGCTGGCGCTCTCCAATTGGCATGGATTCCCCCCCCCCCCCAAGAATACATAATATTTTACTTATTTAGTTACATACTTCCTATGCCACTCCACAGGCAAAGCTCTCTGGGGGGGTTTACATAGTCCATTAAAAAAGATGGTACAATAAAAAATCAGTTTTAAAATTAAAAAGCTTTAAATAGCTAAAAACAAATAATAAAGGCCAACAATAACAAGGAATAATGAGAGAGAGAGACTCTGCAGAGCACTTGGTGTTCTCCTCAAGTCCCTGGGTGGTCAAAAAAGCCTCAGAAAAAAGGGCTCTCTTAACCTGGTGCTGAAAAGATGACAGATTCAGTGCTAGCCAGGCCACAGGGGGGAGGTTATTCCACAGATGGGAGCCATCACTGAGAAATCCCTCCCTCTTGTTTCTACCCTCCGTGCCTCCCTCAAAGGTTGAGCATAGTGTCCAGGTAGATGTTTTTCCAGTCCTAGTTTTTTCCATTGAACTTATTTTTTTCTTTGCAATTTGTTTGCAGTGAGATTATTTTTGAAGACAGCTCCTGGTAGTCTTTCCCCATCATGAAAAATACTACGTTGAATCAAATTATATGGATTCAGTAAACAAGAATGCTCAGGAATTTAATTTTAAGTTGCCAGTTAGCCCTGAGGAAGAAAATTTTGTTTCTGAAACATCCTGGGATTGAATAAGTCGTGACTCTTGTGGGAACAATAAATACTTGTACAGCCATAGCACATATGTATAGAATTTGTAGATTTTTATGCTTTACATTAAAGCAGTGAGAACTGTATTCAGAAAATGCAAGCTCATTGCTCAGAATAAATTATTCACCGCATCGTGAAACAGTCCAGACTCAGGTGGAAGCAGTCAGGTAGCACGCGCCGACCGGAATGCTTGCACCATGGATGGATCACTGGACTTGCTCTATGTGGTCAGTGATGTGCTATGTTTCCCCTGCCTCTGCTAGCAGGCAATGTGGTCTGGGTTTTACTCATCAGAAGGAAGGATTTAGTGTAGGTAGTAGCTTCCCTCCCCTTTATCTTTTTTTAAGAGGCTGGTTTTGGGCTGTAGTATGAAAAACACTTTCAGTTACAAGTACAGTAGCTTCTTGGACTATTGGAACACAAGTTTCTTTCTTTCACCCCACAACATTTCCAAGCAACACTTAAGCAGTTGCCAGTAGCTTGCTACCCTCCCCAGTGTGATTACAATTCACTTTTGGCTTGCTGCAGCATTTTTTCCTGAGATTGCAAAAGTGGGCTTGATGCTGACAGCTCCTTCAAAGCACCCAAGCACTATAAACAGTTAAAAAAATAAATTGCTTTGCAAATACAGTGTGCGCAAATAGAGTCTTCAAAAACTATAGTAATACTCCTGCAACTCTTGAGGTTTCTAGTTATACGAGTGCCAAGCTTCAGCAACTACCAAACTTGGAAAGCAAAGGTATGAAGGACTGTTGCTTGCAAAAAGTGTGGTGGTAAGCTTTATATCCCTTTTACAGTGGGATCCTCATCCTTTTTTCTCCCTGATAATGTTCAGGGTGATTTCAGTTTGCATTTCTAGCTGTAAGTGAAAGCATGCATCGCACCCTCTCTTTGACAAGGAGCTGTCAGAAGTCTTTGTGGTTCTGTGCCATCACGTCTTCTCCAGCTTGCAGCAGCCATATGAATGAATGCCCTCAAAAATGTTATTCCCTTGAAAGCTCTGCTTATCTCTTGAAAACTCAAGGCTGTGCTTCCTTTATGGAATTGAGCCATCTCATGGATGGCCTTCCCCTTTAGCTTCTGCATTTGACTTCTCCTAACATGATTGTCTTCTCCAGTGATTCTTGCCTTCTCATGGTATGTCTGAAGTATGACAGCCTCAGTTTCTTCATTTTTGCTTCAAGGGCAAGTTCGATCTTGATTTGATCTAGGATCCACTTGTCCTTATTTCTGTTTGCCCAGAGTATTTTCAAAACTCTGCTCTAGCACCCATGTTTTGAACTCAGTTTTGTTCCTGTCAGCGTTCCTCCCTGTCCAGCTTTCACCCCCGTACATAATGCTTGGGAATACAGTACTGTGAGTTATCTTGGTTGTGGTCTCTAGTGGGATGTTCTCACACTTGATGATCTTTTCTAATTCCCTATTGCCACTCTTCCAAGTCTCAGTTGTTTTTGGATTTCTTGACTGCAGTCTTCCTTTGAATGGATAACTGAGCCGAAGTAGGCAGAAACTTCCCACAATTTCAGTATCTTCATCGTTGCTGTTAAAGTTGTGTGATTCATCCTTAGTCAAGATTTTTGTTTTCTTAATGTTCAACTGCAGTCCTGCTTTGCACTTCCTTTCACGTTCACCAGGAGTCGTTTTGAGTCATTGCTCTTTCCTGCCAGTAATATGATACCATCTGCAGATCTTAAATCATTGATGTGTCTTCCATCAATTTTCACTCATGCTTCCTAATCCATATTTCCCTATGTTCTTTGTTCAGATTGAATAGGGAGATAAAATACAGCCTTGTCTGACATCTTTGCTTATAGGAAACCATTCTGTTTCTCCATATTCTTTCCAAATCCCAACAAGAAAATGCCAGCAAATATGAAAAACAAAACAATGGCCTACAGATTGGAAACATTCAATATATATTCCAGTCCCCAGGAAAAGAGATGGGGGAAAAGCAACTGCAATAGGACCATTGCATTAATTTCCCACGTAAGCCAAGTGATGCTCAGTGTGTTACAACAAATGCTTTACCCTGTGTGGAGCAAGAAATGCCTGATGTTCAGACAGAATTCCACAAAGGAAGAGGCAATTGAGAATATACCTTGGAATAGTTCTGTTGGTTTTCTTTTTTGAAGGAGTCTGCCGACTTTTTTCTCTTTTGTGTAGCTCTATATATTGTTTCTAGCTTCTCTTTATTTAATATTGGTCTGATAGTATTTTCCTTTTTTTGGATCCCTAATCTAGATTTGAATTTCCTTTTGATTTTTTGGTTCCTATGGAGGAAGTCTTGTGTTTTGCTTTTTTGGTTGCTCTCTTCTGTTTCTTTGCACTGATCATTGTAATAGTCCTTCTGTCTCTGTGATAAGTCTCTGAAAAGTTGCATTCATGGTTCTGCCCCTGTTTCACTCATCTTTTGCTCTTGCTTCTCAGCTGTCCTTAGCAATTGTGTTTCTTCTGACCTCCTTCTAGGCTTTTTCTTTCTTTTTGCCACAGGAATTGTTCTACTTTCTTTTCTAATCATCCCTCTGTTTTCAGTCCATGGTTGTTCTGGTTCACAGTCAAATTCAAGTAATGGAGATCTGTTCATCATGTGTTCTTTAAATTCCTCAGGAATGGTGTTTTAAGTTGTATTTAGGCACTACACTTGTTAGTGATCTTTTTTCAGTTTCACTCTGATTTCTGTTTTGGCCTTTTGGTGAAGCCTGTGCATAAAGTGGTCTGATTGACTGCCTGAAGTGTGCATTTGCAATCAGCACACTGTGGACTTCACAGTATACCAAGACTCCTTCATTCTCCTGCTTTATTTCTGGCCCCAGGTCAGCTCCTCCCGCAGCGTCGATTCTGCTTTGTCTCCTGCTTTTGCATTCAGTCCCCTAGGATGAGCAGCATGTTTTGTTTCGGGGTGTTTCCAATTCCCTCTTGCTTACTTGCATAAAAGCGTATTTCTCCTTCAGCATCTGCTGCTGGAGCATAGACTTGGTTATGTTGATAGGTTTTCCACTCATTCTGGTATGATTCAGTTGGATTTTGCATTAGACCCCCTTACTGCCAGTGCTGTGTCTTGCCTCAGTATTATAGCCACTCTACTTCTCTTGAATTGTCACTTCCAGAGTAAAGAACTTGATGCCAAGTACTGCAGTGTCTATCCATTTCATTGTTTGCTTTCAGATCTCCAATTTGCTCTGATTCATTCATCTCCTATTCCACATTCCGACTGTATGTGTTGTACAGCATCAAACTTGCCTTTCACCTCTGCACATATCAGTCACTAGACTTCCTTTCAGCTTTGATCTAGTAGTATCATTAGCAACAGTGCTGTTCCTGTTGTCCTTTGGTGTTCCCCAGTATGTGGTTGAGTGCTTTCTGACCTGGGAGTCTCCACTTCTGGCACTATCTCTTTTCCATTTTGGATTGCTTCATTATAGGTTTTTCAGTGTAAGGAATATTCAGAAACAGTTTACTATTATTTTCTACACAGTACTAACCAAAGTTAGCTTGAACATCACTGCCATTTTCTGTGAAAGATCCTTAGTGTCACCTTCAGCTACTGGCCAGCGGTGGCCTTTCCAGAGTGTCTCCACCCCCAGCCCCATTAGAGATACCTGTGCTCTTCTGCTGATGTGACCATTATTCCTGAAGTGGGTGGTGTTTCTGCTTTGGCCATTTTGCCTTGGGTGACCTTGCTAGGAGACTAGACCAGTGACAGCATCCAGTTTCCTGTTGGGATTGCTCCCAACTTCTCAGACACTTTCAGACCTGCTCACCACATTCAGCTGCGCATCCTGAAAGAGGTTAAAGTCGAAGTCTTATTTAAAGTGGGGTTTTGTTGGTACTGTGGGGATTCTTGCACTGGGACATATAAAGCCCTGTCAGAACTCAGCATAGGACTTTCAGTTTTGGACATAGTCCCTGCATGCCAGTTTGAACACATTGCAGATTTTTTGTTTAAATCAGTTACAGCTTTATAACTTGGTTGCTCTCAGTAAATGGTCAGGATCCTATCTGTTAAATTTGCTCAGAAGCATTCATTGAAACTAAACAAGGTGGCAGCTGAAGCCATCCCAACCACTGGGAAGAAACGTATTTAACTTTTTTGACATTTGAAAAAGTGGTTTGAGTGCTTTATCACAGGTTCTGTGTGCACTGGTACATTGGGTTCACACAGCACAATACACATTGGTGGTTTATAAGCCAGGGTAGCTTGTTGTGTTATCTGAACCCAGCAGCATGGCTAGTTAACCACTCTGGTTGGGCCTAGACAACACAGCAAGCCATCCCTGAGTTTTATGCTACCATGGCTTACCATGTTGTAGTGAACTCAGTTGTTGCATGGACAGAGCTACAGCAGAGCCTTTATGGAACAGTTGTCGTCTTCTGGGTTCTGCTTTCTCACAGAAGATGTGTCTCTTGATCTAGTTAGTATATCTGAAGGTTCTGTCAGAGGGGACACTTTTATTATACATTAATTTGTTTTCCTTTAAACAGGTTTCTTCCTTGTATTTGAGGGGGTGAACAAGAAGATTCTAGACTCGATGAACTGAAATGTCGGAAAAATCAGGTCAAAGCACAAAAGCAAAGGATGGAAAAACAAAATATGCAACACTTAGTTTGTTTAACACTTACAAAGGAAAAACTTTGGAAACACAGAAAACTACAGGTATGTAAATTAATCTGAGGTGTTTTAGAATGTCTGTACTTTTGAAATTAAGTATTTCATCTAAACCAGACATGTTACTTAAAGTTGCCTTTAAAGCTGTCTATTTAAAGTTTTGTCATATGCAGCAATTCTAGAGCAAAACACTCTTTAACTTGCGGGTTTAACTTTTATGTTGCTAACTCGTAATTTCCTGCTTTATGTGTATGACATCATACACATTCTCTGTATTTGGTTCAGGGTTCTATAAAGAGAATTGTCAGAGACCCTGGGAATCATCAGGTCCAGCCACCTATTCAGTTGAGGCTCTGCACTGGCGGTTGCAACCGCCCCATGGCCACTGAGCCTCCTCTCCTTTGGTGATGGAGAACCACCCACCTCCTAACACGCCTTGTTCCATTGCTAAGCATCCATGAATATTAGGACATTCCTCCTGATACTGAGCTAAAAGATGCATCCCTGCAACTTTTGATCGTTGGTTCTAGCCCTAACTTTGCTCTTTCCTCTGCATGACAGCCTTTCTGATGACCAACAGGGTTTTCCAAGTGCAGCTCGTCCAATGAAAAACCAGAGCTATTGCTTTCTGTGAGCTGGATGCTTGGCTTCTGTTAATGCAGCCTAAGACTGCACTGAAGTTTTTAGTACTTACATTAACACTGCTGCCTCAGATTCAGCTTGTGACAGGTCCAGTTCACGTGTATTACCAGGAAGTCAGTTTTCCTCCCTCCTGTAGTTGTGCTATTGGGGGTGGGGGGTTGACCCCAAATGCGAGACTGTATTTGTCTCTGTTGAATTTCATCTTGAACTGTGAACAGCACAGGGCCTAGGAACAAGCCCTGTCATATTTTATTTGCAGTGGCACTCCTCATTAAAGCACTTAATGAGTCATTAATGAGCATGTGTTGGATACAGTGGTTTAACTAACTGTGGTTCTACATAGCAGATGACTTGCCCTGCTCACATTCTGCCATCCTGTCAAAGAGCATATCATGTGAAAGCTTGTTAAATGGTTTGCTGAAATCAGCGTATGCTGTGTTCGTGGTATCTCCACAGCCCAATAAACTGGATGCTTCTTGCCTTCAGAATTCTATAGCAGGGCATTTTCTTCCATGGGAGCCTTGCCCATTTATTAAGATCTTCTGGATGGGTTTCCCTGCTGTGGAGAATAGGAAGAGATGCCTTCTGTGGTCGCACTCAGGCCACTGCCTACATGGGGAGAACTTTTTTGCCCTGCCAAGGAGTTAAGCTGTGGGTTTTTCTTTTTTTAGAAATACGGGATTTTGTCCATCAGTTGTTATCTGCTGCCTCTTACCTTTTTAGCTAACTTGTTTTCTGTGTTTTGAACTGTATTGCCGTTATGCAATAGCTGCCTTGGCTATTTTTAAATGGGAAGCCAGGGTACAAATGTGTGGCATCCTGATATGTTTGTGCATCCTCAAACCTTGATTGCACACCTTTGCACAATCAGCAAAGTAAAAGTGAACACAAGAACAAAAGGTGAGAGAAAGGAGAGAAGAGGGACTTCTTTTGAATTTAGAGATTTGAGAGCTGTACAACATTGCGTAAACATAAATAAGAAAGGACAAAACTGTTACTCAAAGAATGTTTGCTTAGAGAAAATTACACATGCTATTTTTAATAATGCATGACTGCATTTTAAGCTTTTCGTAGTTTGGGTTTGAAAAAAAAATCAAGGGTGTCTGTCTCCTGAAAAGGAATCTCATGACTCAGACCTTGATTTTAACTAGATGGCTTGCATTTTGGTTTTCCAAATGGAGCAGGTTATAGAGAAAGTAAATGAATGTATGGTTGTTCCATTCATCTTATCAAAGTAATTCAGTTAGGTTGGTTCTTGAATTACTGCAATTATTTGTTCTTACATTATCTTAGAAATGATGTTAATTTTTCACTTGTTGAGTAGGGAGGCTGACAGTATCCACCGCATTCCGATTTTTCAGCAGCAATGATACGTTTTTATCCCAAAGAGATTCCCTACTTGAATTCTTGCCAGTTTTGCCTGCCATCAATTTCATGTGCATATCAAGCTACCGGTGCATTTATTTCAGTGTGAATTAACCGTCATTTCTTGGTGTACAGTTGCAGCACGCCATGGATTGCAGAGTCTTGGGAAAGTTGCCATTTCAAGGAGGATGCCTCCTCCTGCTAACCTCCCCAGCCTGAAAGCAGAGAACAAAGGCAACGATCCCAACATAAACATTGTGCCTAAGGATGGCACTGGCTGGGCTTCTAAGCAAGAACAGCATGAGGAAGAAAAGTAAGTCAGTGGCTGTGTTTCTACATTCTCATTCAGCAATATGGCATCATCTTTTAGTGTATGCCACAGAAGAGCTTTTTTGGTTTAGAAATTCTTTCAGTCAGCTTCAGCCCATACACCATGGATGGAGGGAAGTAGTTTGGTCACAGGCACTCGTTCCTTGGCAACCTTCTGTTGAGACATAGAAACACAGAAGCAGAGCGAGTCAGAAGGGGTCTCCCGGACCATCTAGTCTGACCTCCGGCACCAGCCGGCTCCGCTCACGACATGCCCACCATGTGCACGTCCAGCCTATCCTTGAGCACCCGCACCGATGGGGCCTCAGCGACCTCCCGTGGAAGCCCATTCCACACCCTCGGGGTCCCGACTGTCAGGAAGCGCTTCCTGGCATCCAAATGGAACCTGGGTTCCCTGAGCTTTGCTCTGCTGGAGCGCGTCCTGCCTTCCTCTGCAGGGGAGAACAGGGCTCTCCCCATCTCCATGTGACATCCCTAAGACTATCGCTAAGCATTCTTTGTGGGGCTGCCTTTGGAGACAGTCCAGAAGCTCTGGTTGGTCCAAAATGGCTGCAGGATTTTTAACGAGGCCTGGGCTATTTGATCATATTTGCTTCACTAGCTCCCCATCCATCCCTGCACTTGATTCAAAATATCAGAGTACCTGGAAGGTTCCCTTCTCTCATGGATTCCTGGCTGAACCCTGAAATTTTGTCCAGAGGCTCTGCTCCAGGTGCCGCTGCCAAATTAAGCCAAGCGATCGACTAACCCGGAGAGCGCCTTTCAGTGGTGGCACACCGCTTGTGGACTGCCCTCCCTCCAGAGACTCCCCTGGTCTTTTGCGTGACGGGAAGACTTTGGGGAGGTGCACAGCGTAGCCTCATTGAATGAGGACAGGGACAGGGTGGGCGAATAGGTTTGTGCAACCACTTCTGCATTGGATCATTGCTGCTCCTGGCATATAAAAGCCAGGAGGGAACAACCAGCCAGGCCAGTGAAGTGATCCAGGCTACCCTGTGAGGGAGGGTGGTCCCATGCCACCAGCGGGAGGCAGAAGTAAGACCACTCCTGAAACAAACCTCTCTGGAACAGGAAGATCTTAATTTTCAGCTGGTAGTGGATGTTCTGATCTGGGCTAGGTGCTTGAGCAAGTAGCTCAGTCAGCCCCAGGCACTCGGGGGTGAGAGTGGTTGCCTGGATCCATTTTAGTTGGGCTTCAGGCCAGGTGTGGGCACAGAGACAGCTGTGGTTGCAGGTATGATGACCTGTGCCAGCAAAGAGATAGGCAGTGTGACCCTGTTAATGCTCCTGGATCTCTCAGCAGCTTTCAGTCCCATCAACCATGGTATCTGAGTTGGGAGGTGGAGGTGCTGCATTGCCGTGGTTCTGCTCCTTTTCAGAGGGCCAGCCCCAGACAGTGGTGCTTGGGAAATACTGTTCAGCCCTTTAGCTCCTCCAGCATAATACCTGATGGAGCATCTCTCTCTGCTGCATTTTACCTAAGCACTATGATCAACATTCAGGGCCTTCCTCTGAGGGAGGTTCGCTGGACAGCAACAAGCAGGAAGGAGTTCTTAGTGGTTGCCCCCAGTTATGGAAAGATCTCTGACAGGCCTGCACAGTGCAAACTGTGATATCCTTTTGGCACCAGCTTAAGACAGATCTGTAAGCTGAGGCATTTGAAGACTTGCAAGGCTATTTAAGAGCGTGAAGGGACTGCCCATCTCAGGTATTTTACAGGTGTACCCTCTGTCATACCTTGTTTTTTAATTTGTTTTAATATTTTTGTGTTTTAAACACTTTATGGTTTTCTTTTGTATTGTTTTATTAACTGTTGTAAACGGCCGAGAGAACTTTGGCTATTGGCACTATAGAAATGAAATAAATAGTAATGCTAATTATTTCCACAGGCTTTTTAAAATTTAATTTTAGTCAACTGCTTTCCTGATCTTTATTTTTAGTTACACCATGAAGCTGATTTGCTGATAGTTTTATCATGCAGCATGTTCTATGGCTGTTGCTTTTGTTTTTGCAAACTGCCTAATGAAGATACATGAATGCTATAGATAAAATAGACAATAGACCTACTTTGCTACACAGGAACTCCAATATGCAGTTAAGATTTCTCCAGTTCAGAGCTGCTTCTTCACTTCAATTGAGAAAACGGTTCCACTTGCATGTCTCTTTGTTGTTCTTATTGTACATACTGGACTGCTCCCTTCACTTCTTTAGTGCGTGCTGTTAAGATTTTTATTTTTCTCTTCATAGCTTTGAAAGACTATTTGTAAAGCAGAATGTAAACAAGTGGGAAATGCTTTTAGCAGCAGGGTTCTATCTGTGTTTTGGCAAACTCTCAAGGATGTGGATTGGGGTTAGGGTTTTATAGGTGTTCACAGAAGTTTTTTCATCAGTGTTCATAAAGGAAGACTGTTAAATTTATAGATTTGGGAGAAAGAGTTCCTCTTCTGAAGCATGCACATGGAGGGCCTTCGGGAGCAGTCCCCAGTTGGCTGGACTTTCCGAAGTCTTGACATGCTTACAAACAAACTAAAAATCCCAGTGGGCTCTGTTCAGCCGTTGATGTCAAGAAATACAGAATTGGTTTATTCATTACCACTGTGGAAAAAAAGGTAATTTTCCCTGTGTCTAGATGAAGCCATTCTCTCTGTGCCCTGAAATAGTTTTTTAACTGTTCAAAATAAGCATGCTTTCTGGCTTGATGCAGGCTGGGCTTATGTAAATTCTAACAACAGCTCCTCTGCAGTTCTTCCCCTCTTTTCTGTGATAAGCTTCAGAAAAAAAGATTCTGCCACTGTAAGTTGCCTTAGTTTACATAGTGCTACACTCATACAGAAATACTTTGCCCGTGCATGCCCCAGACGCATCCTTTAGCGTCTGGAGTGTTTGGATTCTTTCTGCAATAAGCCGCATGCTTTTTCAGCCCCTGCTTAAACATTTTCCTAGTGTTTGCTTCTTTCAATTTCTCTCACTTTTAGACAGCCAGAAGTGCCACAGACTCCGCCAAAGCCTGCTACTCCTGCTCCTCCAGAAGCACCTCCCATTGCCAAATCCTGGGCCAATACCAAGCAAGGTGGGCAGGGTGACGGTAAGTGGAGGATAGATGGGCCAGGCTAGTTGAATTAGGGTGCAGAGAGTCAACTTTGTATGCTTTGGGGCAGCTAAAACTTACGATACTGTGGAAAGAGTGTTCTGAGAAAGACCATTTGGCATTCATTTAGGAAGACTCTCAAGTCTGTAACACTTGCATTCTGATAGAAAATTTAGCTTAGACTGCTGTGTTTAACAGTTTACTGTAGCCTTCTCCAACTGGATGCTCCCCAGATGTTTTGAACTTCAAAATCACTAGGTAAGGTCAGCCTTACCTACCTTAGTTGTTGTTATCCTGTTATCTTATCCGATTCCCGTTTGTTCCCATTTAAAAAAAATACGTTGCCATCATCATCAGCATTGATTGTACTCTGTGAGCAGCTAACTTGTGCTATTGCACATGACTTCGAAATGCACCGTACATGGTGCAGCCATGGGGTGTGATCAAGCAGCAGATAGTCCACAGCACCAAGGCCCACCTGAAAGGAGTCTGAAACCCGCTCCTCGTGAGGGAGGAGGTGGTCAGTGGCTACTAAGCCTGCTGGCTGTGTGCCTCTTCCTTTAGCAGGGGCTTGCCAGCATACAGCAGTTACAGAGGAGCTTGGGCAGGGAGATGTCTTGCCTCGTCCTGCTGGAGGGCTCCTGTGGGCAGCTGGTTCGCCACCATGCGTACCGAGGGCTGGACTAGAGGAGCCGTTGGTCTAAAGCAGCATGGCCTTTCTTATGTCCTTACGTTGCTGCTTTGGTGCAAGCTATGCTCTTCATTCCAGCATAGCTTAGTTTATACCTTTGTATAAATAAGGGAACCTTAGTATAAATAAGGGAGCCAACTTCGCATTCTGACCTAAAGCAGCAGAATCTGTTATAGTGGGCTTAAATCTTATTTGAAGATGGAGGGGGAAGTAACTCTTTAAAGTTTATGGATGTTGCCCCGTTATAGATTTCTGAACTACTAACTTCCTTTTTTGCAATTCTCCCAGGTCCTGGAGTTCAGGTAAATAGTTATTTCCAGCAAGAATTTCCTAGTCTTCAGGCAGCTGGAGATCAAGAAAAGACAAGCAAAGAGAAGGATGCAGCTGAAGAGCCTTATGGTCCTGGGCCTAGTTTACGACCACAAAGTAGGTATATATAAAATTCAGGATTGCCTTCATGAAATTCTGTGGTCCTCTTGGAATTCAGTCTTCATTCGCTTTTGGCCCATGTTAAAATAATGCAACAGGCAGATAAAGTACTGGCTTGTGCTGCAAAAGACTGAATACACTTGGCATATCTGGGATTGCAAGTTTTATCCGATCACACCTGAACTGGTGACCTCCAAGTGTTTTGGACTTCAGCTCTCCTTGGACCCAGCCAGCATGGGTAAGGCATGCAGGGGGTTGTCGTCCAAGGTATCTGGACAGCTACGAGTAATTTCTTGCTCAAAGCAAGGGTGGACAATTCGCTGTCCTCCAGATATTTTGGTCTGTAACTCACCCTCACCATTGTGGCTAGGACTGATGGGAGATGTGAGCAAAAACATCTGAGAGCCACAAGTGTTTCACCTCTGGACTAAAGCTTTAATTGCAAATTGGAATTTATGCTCCTCACTTCCACACTAAGGCTAGTAACAAGCAGAGGCTCAAGTGACTGTTCAGCTCTGTCCCCTGTATCAGATTTGATGGAATAGGGTGAATATCATTTCTTTCCAGTTTAACATCCAATCCTAGCCAATGGCTTGCCTTTCTTTTAAAGGCAACTAAAACAGAAGGTACTTAAACTTTGCCAATACAAATGGTTTTTGAACTTATTCAAGAACCAAGGGAAGAGTGTTGCCTATTGGGAGGTATAGAAATACACTGATTAATAAATTAATTAAAATGTTAAGCTATTAGAGATCTTTAATCACTTGATTGAAGCATAACTTGCCAGCTCATCCAGAGATGACACTGAACTATGTTTTGCACACAACATCATTTAATTTTAGATACAGTGCAAACCATGGAGCACTAAATATAATTAATCCACAGGAGACATTCTAGTCTGTTCTTTAAGTGTTGTCCAGGTTGTATGACAGTAAGTGTGCATCACTTCAGCTACTGCTCTTTTGTTGTTCAGAGTTCGATATTTGGGAGAGAGGGAATCATGGGATCATGCTAGCAAGAGCTGCACCAAGAAAGCCCTTTTCATCACCACAGCATAAAATAAATAACGTTAAGAAGCCTGTTTAGAGTTTTGCCTTCCCTTTTCCGATGCAGATGTTGCTAGCTGGAGAGAAGGTGGAGGCAGGAATCTGAATTCTCCAAACTCACCAGCTGATCAGGAAGCAAAACCTCTTGCTCAAGAAGATGGCGATGGCCCTGGGCCAACGGAGCAGCAGGATGGCCCGAAGGTCCCAGAGAAGAGGGATGTGAGAGTAGCGCAGCCCCCTGCACCCAAGCTGAATGGTCAGCAGCAGCCTGGCATCTTGCCTCAGTACCGAGCAATGATGCCACCCTACGTAAGTCATGTGCGTCGGGAGCTCCTGGGGCTTCCATTGTCCCTGAACTAAAAGGAAGGTGGGAGGGAGAGGAGGAGTTCGTGGGAAGAGCGCGTGGGAGTGTGGGCTTTTTTCCAGTTGATCTGCAGAATGCTTTTGTCCTATAAGATATTCCCCTGTTCTTGAGACTATCCAAAGGGGTGTTTTGCTGGAGAAAATAGACATGAAATTCTATTTCTATAGTTATTTACCATCCAAATGCCACCAGACGGTGTCTTTAAAGTGTGCTCTTGTCCGTCCAATGTGAATTTTTGCCTTCTGATAGTCTGGAATCAGAGTGTCAAGTTTCTAGGCAACAGCTTTGCTTTTGTTTTATTAGTTGGCTTGCAGTTATTTTCAACTCTTGTAGTTCTTTTCATTCTGCTCAAGTAGGAGTTTGGGGATTGTTCCAAAATGGATTACTTATATTTATCCATATGTTCGAAAACAAAACATTTCTGTTTGGTTCTGCTTCCAGACTGGGTCCTCTTTTATGGATAGAGCAGATCAGTGGAAAAAGTAGGTGTGTGATTAAACCTAGATATAATCTGATATCGGAATCCGGAATCCGGAAACTAAAAATAGTTTCTGGAGAATAGCATGGAGATAGAGAAAAAACAAAAGCTATGCTGTAAGAAAGATACTGGGAGAGGAATGCGATAACATAAGAAAAACAAAAATCCAAAATGCTTTTTTAACCTTTTTTGTGACCAGTGTTCCCTGCCCAAGCTGTAGGCATAATATAATGAAGTTCTTAAGGTACATGAGGTAACAGCATGTTTTATGATGAACCTTACCAAAGCAAAGATTTGACAAACCCCACCATTCAGTTCAACTTTGGATGGTGTTGAGGTTCAAAGCCTTCCTCTTTATTTTGTCATACTAGTTACTCTGTGGTCAGATGAACTGAAACTGAGATGCCATTTTATTTCACAAGAAGAAAAGGTTTCAGCAAAGCTTAGATTGCTTTTGCTTTTCAAGGTGCATATTCTCTGAGGTACCCGAATCAATTGGTACCCATTTTCAAACAGCGGAAATTGATGGCATAAACTCAACAGATTTTCAGACAAATATTTTAACCAGAGCAGGTCTAATTACTGTCAGGGAGCTAAATCGAGATGGGCTTCAGATGCTTGCCTCAGTATGCCCAAATATTTATCAAGAAAGGAGGGCAGTCAATGTTGGGTCCTTGTACGCTTAGGATTTGTTGCTTTGTCTTCCTGAGATATTGGGGTTTTTTTTTTTAAGAAGAAAGTTTCCCTAAGACCATTTTTAGTCCAGTTTGTATTGTAATTTATCTTGAAAAGCCAAACTGTGAACAGTACTTTCTAATCCATGCAGCCCATTTACTCCTCCCTTTCTGGTTAAAGAACGAGCAATTGACCATAGTTTCCTAATTTGGGCAAAGAAGTCAGGATATTAAACCTACTTCAAACGTTAATGTAACATCTAGACTTTTTTCTGAAGCTGGAAACCATCCAGGCCAAACTGAGAAGCTGTGGTTCTCAGTTTTAATTGGTCCTGTTTTGATTGGTCACAGTGCAAAAGGAATGTGCACAGGGGCTTTTTGAAGGGATTAAGTGTTTTCATTTCTTTGTTTATTAATCTCTGCAATACAGTGGTGAGGAAATAGTCCTCATCATGTCCATGAAAAACATACATTATGAATCTGCCTTAAGACATGAAAGGAATTACTAGTACATAACACACACTTTCTTAGAGTAATTATTTTAATTACTCTAATTTAATTAAGTGGGGTGTTGAATCTCAGGCTTGCAGACCAAATCCAGCCCTCCACTAGCTAGCAATACCTGCTTTCCATGAGCCCTCTCCATTTCCTCCAACATGTCAATTTTGATGGTTTTCTGGATTTTTCTTTCATTCTAAAAGGCTGGAATACTTCTCCTAAGTCTTAGTTACTGTCAGTAAGAGCTTGAATTTAAATTATGGTGGTATTTTTGGCCCCACCACTTTTACCATAGGCTGAGAAGAGAAGGCCGCAGAACTTTGCTTAGATTGAATTGGACCCAGCATCAAGCCTGTAAATAAGACCATTTGTTGAACCTAAGCAGGTGCCAATGTTCCCTTTTTAAAGATTATACACACATTTCTACTTTTATAAGCTAAAGCTTTGGTGTTCCGTAATGTTTGTCTCTTCTGTCTGCCTGTAATTTTAGTACTGTTTAACCTGTCCGGCTGCTTTCCTTTAGATGTTCAATCAGTACCCTAAACTGGCATACCCTGCAATGCCAGGTCCCAGCAGGTTTCCTGCTCCTCCTGAAGCCAGCAGGTAAGAAAGGCAGCAGCTCACTTTGCACTGTTTGATCATTACTATTCTGTATTGTAATGTTTTGACAGCTATCCTTTAATTAATTAATTGCTATACTGTCTGTTAGTCAAAATGACTCTCTGGGCAATTTACATAATGACCCATTAATAATTGTGGCTGAAGCGGTCTCTGTGTGCTTCTTCAGCAAGCATGGGAGAATTTTGGACACCTAGAAGGAATATGTACCAGTGCCAAAGACTTTAACTTTGGCTCCATTTGGTTTCTTGACATTTGGTTCTGACCAATAATTGCTCCCTTTAGTAATGAAATGTACTGCTCTTACTTCATCATATTTCTTTTAATCCTGATTTAAATCTATCTTAAGTACCTTCTCTTGGTAACTTGGTTAGTAATAATAACAATGGTGAACTCTGCTCCTTTTTCTAGAGGGCCGAGAGGAAGAGGACCTTCTTCCTGGGGATCAGAAACTATTGAACGTCCATCCATCTTGAGTGCTAATGAACTCAAAGAACTTGATAAGTTTGATAATTTGGATGCTGAGGCTGATGAAGGCTGGGCTGGTAAGGCTCTTTCTGTTACTAAACTTTATGGGTTGGATGTGGAAAACCTGTTTGCAACACTAACCTCCCATTCTTTGTTACTCCAGGAGCCCAAAGTGAGGTAGATTATACTGAACAGTTGAACTTCAGTGATGACGACGATACGGGAAGTAACCAGAAAGAACAGGAAAGCAGGTGATTTATTGAATATAATAAGATCAGCTCCTCTTTTATCCCATGTACACTGTGGGTGTTGAAATGCCAGAGTGATGTAGTTGCATGACCTGGAGGTAGTAATTCAGGAATAAATATCTGCTGAGCTGTCACACTGAGTAGGTGGTCATGAGCCTGTCGTTCCTTCTCTGCTTTCATATGTGACCATCATTCAAGACAGTTGAGAGCTGTAGCTGCTTAGTTGCGTTTGGTTCTCTATGTATTTTGGTTATTTATAGCCCCAGTTTTAATTTAAGCTTACAGAGACAGGAAGTATATCTAGCTAAGCACAATTAAGTGATTCATATCACTGTTCAAAAAGTTTTCTTGCTATTAAGTGAGAATATCGAGAAGATGTTTTATTCTCATGTACGTTGTGTATGTTCTACGTTGTAAGCCGTCCTGAGATGCCGAGGCATGTGGTGATGGCATACAAAAGTTTTAAATAAATAAATGAAATATGTCATTTATGCAGTAATGAACCTACAAAAGATGTGGAGAAGAAAGATACAGAAGACGTTAAATCAACTCCTTTGCAGTCAGTTGCATCCAAAGGGCCCTTCAACAAAAGCAATCAGTTTGACCAGGTATGCCTGTTAAAGCCACTCACCTTAGACCTCCTGAGGTGCACATTGTCCCCAGTTCTGTGTAGACAACTGGTAAAGAAGCTTGTTAGTGACCTGGTATTTTGCACCACAGACTCACTATGGGCTGTGTGAGCAGCTCAGCTCATCATAACGGAGAACACACCACTCTGAAGGCCTGGTCAGTGTTTCAAGCCACAATCCCAGAGGACTGGTTCTCTCTAGGACAGATGTATACTTTGTCTTCAGTATATCTGTTTGCAAGATGATTTATCCTAATTAATTTAGATATTTAATTCACAAATTTTATTCACTGAGGTGCCCTTCTAGACATCTAGTTCTCCTTTGTTGACCCTGTATTCTATTCACATTGTTTAAAATTGTTAAATCAACTGCATTCTGTTTTTCTGGTTTGGCACAAATACTTACATTTGATTTTCAATTGAACAGGGGCGGGGTCTTCCACCAGCACAACCTTCAGCTCTTGAGAGGGGCAGTGCTGCCCTCCATCCAAAATCTGTTCTTCAGGTACGACCAAATGTTTGATCAGTAGAAATCACCATTAGGCCCAGTAATGAATGTTTAAATTCTTTGCTTTGTCTTCTGCTAGGTTGCACTCAGTAGGAATAACATGATAGGAATGCAGTGTATTTTTTAATATATAGAACGGCAGCTGAATTTATGTTGTTTTTCTTTAAAATTCTTGGCTGAATCCATGGACTGGGATCTAAAGAGCCTCCAAACATGTATGCTTGTGCATGTGTACTAAGATCCCATTGTCCCCAGCTGCAGTCTTTCACACCATAAACCTCAGGAATACTGGGGGATATGCATGCATTGTGGGGCCGGGGGGCTGAAAATCTCCAGCACACATGGAAAATACTTTTTACACTCCTCTGGATCTTTGCAGTAAATTATTCTCGACCTCTAAAAGGAGAGATTGCAAAATGAAAATTTCATTATTTTATCTAATAATATTTATACAATACCCTACTTGCTAAAAATCCATGCAGGCAGTGCCAAGCTTTCCACTCCTGAAAACCCACATTTTATCATCTCCTTTAAAATCTATTAATTGTCTAAAATTAGGCAATGAGTACAATAAGAACCAGTGTGCTATAGTGGTTAAGAGTGCAGGACTTAGGAGATCTGGGTTCTAGTTCTCACTCAGCCATGGAGCTCACTGTGGGTCAATCACAGATTCTCAGCCCAACCTAAATCACAGAGTTGTTGTGAGGATATGTGCTGAGAGAACAGGGAGAATTATGTAAGCCAATTTGAGTTCCTTGGAAGGAAAAAAGGTGGGCTATAAATAAATTAATTCTTGCACATGGCTGGACACACTAATAGAACTCTTGCTGACAAACACTTCTTAGCGCTTTCTGTTTTCCTTCTGCACTATTTGCTTCTGCTCAATTATAAAATAATGCCATTTATTTTAGGGCAGAAATGACTCGCAGCATGACGGAACACAAAAAGCATTACTGATTAAAGTAAAATGATCTTTCTGTAATTGGAATTGATGCCCAATCTGTAATTCCTTGGTGAAAATGGATGGAATTCAAAGTTTGCCCATTCTAATTTGCATCACGTGTGATAACAATTCCACTTGTTAGGCCTGATATAAGAGTATGTGTGAACTTGGCAGATCATAGATTGGAAGCCCCTCTTTCATGGTTGCTAAGCAAAAAGCCCATTTGACTTACATATTTAGGCAATGGATCTAAAACTTCCTCTGTACTTTCTTATTTTCAAAAACGTTATAGCATCCACTTCCAGATCGCTTGACAGGGCCAGGACGGCAAGGTCCCTTTCCTCCTAGGCCAGTACCAGATGAAGATGAGATTTGGAAGCAGAGGAGAAGACAGCAAGCAGAAATATCTGCAGCTGTAGAACGGGCCCGAAAAAGACGAGAGGAGGAGGAGCGAAGAATGGAAGAGCAAAGAAAAGCTGCCTGTGCTGAGAAGCTAAAACGGTTGAATGAGAAATTTGGCTGTGTAACAAAGCCATCCCGGGAAGACCCACTGAAAGAAAAAGAAAAGGTCAAGGAGAAGGAAATTGAAAAGGAGAGGGAAAAAGCAAGTGAAAAGGAAAGAGAAAAGGTGATAGAAAAGGAGAAAGAAGAAATAAAGACCCAAGAGAGGGAAAAGGAACCAGAGAAAGAGGAGGAGCAGGAGGAGAAAGAAAAAGTGGAAGATAAACCTAAAAATGAAGTATCTGAACCACAAGAGCCAGTCACTCCACCTGTGATTGCAGAGAAACCGCAAGAAGGTGAAACCAGCAACGAGGAAGAGAGAGGTCTGTATCAGTCACTGTTTAACAGCAGCAGTAGAGTAGAGAAAGCACTGGGCATTTCAGAAGCTGAGGCAAAGCTGTTGGTTGCCATCACATATCATGGATTATAAGGAATACTTAAGTCAGCTGACTTGCTCATTTAAGATGAGTCTGAAACAAAACTCCTCTGAAGTTATGCTCAGATGTTCAGAAGTAGTATAAGTTTGCAGGTGTTATCGCTTGTTTTGAAAAAAGTGGGCCAGAATATATTGGACCCAAAACCCATGGCTGCAGTCCTCCGTGTTTTGAACCTAGGAGGCTAATGGTCAGCAAAATTGCAGCTGCAGGAGGAGTTTTCATTTGTGCTTTTGTTGCAGTTGCCTCATTTGCAATGGGAGCTGGTTTAGTGACAACTTCCCCCAAAAAGTCTTTAAACACAAAAGTGTGAAGCTCTACCTGTATGCTGCTGCTTTGGATCTTTTCCATCGCTTACTGACTTACGTGTGATGCTCTTGTTGAAAGTGGGATTCCTCACCCAGTTGCAGTTCCATAGCTTGTTAGTGAATGGCCTATGTGTCTTACAAGACCCACTGAATCTTGCTCTGGATTTATGTCTTAGCTTGCATTCTTGTTTCCTTAGAGTGTGACTTAACAGTTCCCCTTTGGTGCTACATTTATTCTGTTCTGTGTTTCACCATAACCTCGTTATGATGTCTGAAACTAAAACTAGCTGCCTGCGTTGATGTTCAGGATTATTGGTGTGGTGTTTCAGCTGTTTTCTTTGGCATACAGTGCATAATACGTGGTGTCTGCCTTACCTTCACCTTTTCTCCCTTGGGCAGAGAGTCAGGCTGTTTCCGCCACACAAGAAAGCAGTCCTCATGAAAGAGAGAGCCCTCATGAAAGTGAGCCTGACTCTGGTGCTCAGCCTCGTCCGGCGATTTCATCTGGCTATTCAAAGCAGTTCCAGAAGTCATTACCACCGAGGTTTCAGAGGCAGCAGGTAACATGCAGCTGTTTCACATTGTATCCTTGGTTACTCTTTTGCTTCTCTGTTTCCTGCTTGTGGGTTTCCTGTGGCAGGTGGCTTGATCCTGTGTGAACAGAATGCTGGATTAGATGTACCCTTGGTCTGATTCAATAGAGCAATTTTTAGGATGTCCAGAATGCCAACTGTTTCTGTAAATATCATTGGGGCAGTTTATAAATTAAAAATGCAAAACAAAATAGCAAAACCAAATAAATAATTCAGCAATTTCTGTAACTGTAGTCTTTGATGCCAGAGAGAAGAGAGGTTATTATACTTCATAGTGTGGTCAACATGCAAAGATCGGGTGTAAGAGCTTCTCTGATCCTTAAGTCCGCATCACAGTTCTTCGCAGCTTCTGTTCTTTCTGCACTCTAGTTCGCCATCTGTCATGTTTATGAAGTTTCATTGTGATTAATGCTGTAAATTGCTGTAAGCAAGGCACACTGTTTTCCCAGGGTGCCTGTCTGTCGGTACTGCCCTGTGCAAGATCTGCCTGCCCTGCCCCCCCCCCCCCCCCCCCCGTTTACTCATGCCCCCTGCCCTTGTCACAGGATGTCCTTTTAGCCATGGCCAAGGTTCACGGCCATGGCCATAGCTAAGCCTAACCAGGGTTCCGTTAGAGCTGGAAACCCGGAAATTAAGGGCATCATGCACGCACTGTGCCAGTTGCCTGTAGCTTATTAATCCACTCCTCCCTTTGCTTTATAGGAGCAGATGAAGCAGCAGCAGTGGCAGCAGCAGCAGCAGCAAGGGGTCCTGCCGCCGTCTGCGCCGTCACAGCCCTCCAGTGGCCCCGTGCCTCCCCCTCCGCACAGGCCCCTGTACCAACCCCTGCAGCCACACCCCCCGCACTTGGCCTCCATGGGCTTCGATCCGCGGTGGCTCATGATGCAGTCGTACGTGGATCCACGAATCATGTCGGGAAGGCCTGCGATGGACATGCCACCCATGCACCCAGGTACAGCACATGCCTGTAGGGCGCGCGTGCACAGCAGGGCCACCCGCTTTGCAAATGAGCGGTGCGGGGTGGGGCCTTCATGGAACTCGCGCTGTGCCCAGCGGCCGGAGGGGTTCACCGGGGGTGCGCTCCCTCCCTCTCCATCCTCCTGGGCTCTCCAGCCGTTGTCACGGGGTCCTGAACCTGCTTATCCTCTCCGCCCTAATTATGATCCTGTTTGCATTTGCCTCCCCATGCCCCCCTCCCCCGGAGGCCCTGTGCGCTGCTGCTTGTGGCAGCTGCTCCACTGATACCCAGAACTGGCTCTCTGCAGAGACAGACGGTTGTTGCTGAGCGCTCTGCCGCCTAGCTTCGGTCACTCTCATGCTTTCCAGGGCAAGGAGTGTCCAGTTCAGAATTACTGGTGGTCTTGGGCTTGTCCACATTAGAAGCGTTCAGGATTCATCTGGACTACCATCCATTAGGGGTGCTTTAGCTTGAAGTCCTGCACTGAGCAGGCCAGCTGGCCCTTTACGATGTGAAACCTGCAGAAACACTCACAGCAGCATTTTTGATAGGTGTCCCTGCTCACACTGAAAATGCATGTGTGGCGTCATCCTGTGTTTTTATGTGGTAAGGGAAACAGTGTAAATGGAGTTTTTTAAATGGCCCAAGTGAGCAGCATTTAAACACAGGACTGTGCCAAAGAACAGTAGCCAGCCATTGAAAGAACATTAAAACAACTGGGCTTCCCATATTTATAAGACCTGTGGGGATATTTTTTTACCTAATAGAATTGTACCTTCTCTGACAGCCTGCTCCAAGGAGACTATTTCAGGATTGCAGTATTAATACAGAGACAGCAGATCCCTCTCTGCTGGGTGGCTCTTGTAGTCACTGGTAGATGCCCCTAGAAGTCCTGCAGCCAGACATGGGAGGCCTGCCCTTGCACCGATGTTTCTTACGGACGAGTTCAGGCAGGCAAATCTGCGTTGAAGACCAGTTGTGGCTTGCCTGTGTACATTTTAGTCACTGTGTGTTTCTGAAGTAGCCCCTTCAATGGGCTGTTCATCTGACTGTCTCTTCACAGGAATTATACCTCCCAAGCCACTTCTGAGGAGGGAACAGATGGAAAGTGCAGGGACGGGTTCAGAATCCTTTGATCATGTTACTCGGCCGGCAAGAGAGCACACTATCCCGCTGTCAGAGCCATGTGTGATGTGGGGGTCAGAGCCCTATCCTCTCGCAGAGCCTCAACAGAATGGCACTCCTCCAAAAGTTGTAGAAGAACATGAAGCTCTAAGGTATGTTTTGGGATTATCTTGATGTCTGCTGTTTTTACTTAACAACCTTACTGTGTCTTGTCTTGCCATAGCCATGCGTCCCCACTGTATAAAATGCCATTTGTTCCTCTTTGTAGCAGTCAGTTTCTTAAATAATCCTGTGGATATTTGTTTGTGTTGAGCAGCTGGTTCAGAAAAGAGCAGTTTCTGCTCCAGTCAAGTGTAGCTGAACTAATAGACGGTCAACTGAACTCACATGATTAGCAGCATGCGCTCCAATCATCTCTCAGCCACACCAGTGGCTATTTCCCAAAGAAACAACCCATGGTTGGTTACTTGTGATGCGCAAATGCTTCTGTCTCCTTTGTAATGACTTGTTTGGCTTTTGACGTCGGCTAAGTTATGTACTCATTGTGGAAACTTAGCTGGTGAGTACATAGTAGGTTGGTTGTTTTACAGAGTACCTGCAATGAAGACTGAGATCACTGGGGTTACTTCACTCCTTCTCTCCCCACTTTCTCTTCATTCCTCCAGGCAGTATCCCAAGCGACACATGAAGAACACGTTTCCTCTCTCTCGACAGTTGTGATAGCAGACTGATTTTGCCTGGCCTTTCCTGTCCCTTAATGTGCTTTTTTCCGCCCCTTTAAACGAGGGAGCCAGCTGCGGAGGGCTTTCCTTGTCCTCTTAAGGGCAGGCATCATGTGCCACTTAAAGTGTCCTGGAGCGCCTCGGTGGGCTCGCCATCCCTCCACCCTTTCTGCACCTTCAAATGTGAGCCAAAAAGGGACCCTGCTGTTCACCCATTAGAGTGTGCGAGGGCTTGTAAGTCCTGGCCTGCCAATTTCATTGGTGCTAACAAATCTCTCCAGAAGTGGTCTTCTGGCTGTGGTGCGCTACGTGCAATTAAAACATACCACAGGTGATGACAATTCTTTCTAGCATGTTGCGGTGTATAGAGAGAACCATAAAGCTTTAGCTGAAAATGCCGTTTGCTTGCTTCTAGGCCAGAGGCACTTCCAGATCAAGAAGAAATTACTGTGCGGGCAGTTTACCCAGGAGAGCCAGCTCCGTTGGACTCGCATGCGAAGCCTGACTTCTTCAAGGAGCCCAGTGAAGTGAGTGCCCATAAATCTTCAAGCAGGTCTTCAGAAGATGCACAGCCGCGGGAAGCTGACCCAGTGGCTCCTACAGCAAATTTTGAAGTGACTGCAGAAAATGTCTCTCAGAGTTCCAAGGACGAGCAGGTGCCTGCAGAAGAGAGTAACTCTTCCCTGAAGAGAAGTCTTTCTCATGGCTCAAGCCATTCTCTGAAATCAGAAGAGCAAGGGAACGAAACGCCAGGAATTATTTCCAAAGCAAACAGTAGACACACTGAACTAAAAGAAACAGTGCTTGACCGAGCAGACAGCAAACTAAAAAAGGAAGGGTTCACCTCTAATAGATTGTTGGAAGGACCCAAGCCCGATAAGCCCTTCAAGCCTAAATCTGAAACCAGGTGGGGTCCAAGACCGGGCTATGGCAGAAGAGAAGAAGGGAGTGACCGACCAGTGAGAAGGTCTGGCCCTATTAAGAAGCCTATCCTTCGAGATATGAAAGAAGAGCGTGAGCAAAGAGAGGAGCGTGAGCAGAAGAAAGAGCGAGAGGGAGAAAAACTGGCAAATGAGAAAGCTGGCAGGATTGAGAAACGGGAGCAGCCTCCGGCGCCACCATCCAAGCCAGAACCAGAGAAGCCTGTCACCGAGAGTGAAGGGGCGCCACTGAGCACACCGCAAGCTCCAGAACCTGCAGAAAGTCCCGTGCAGTCTGCAGTTACACCTGCGGTTCAGCCGGCCCATGTCGTCCAGCCTGCGGCGGCAGCAACCCCTGTGCCCCCACCTCCAGCTGTGGTCCCGTCGCCCTCGCCGGCACTCCCACTGCTGCCTAATCCACAAACAGCAGCCGAGCTTCCACCCCTTCCTGCCCAGCAGCCACCAGTTCAACAGCCTGTCAGTGCAGTCAAGGAGGAAAAGCAGCCGGAGAAAGCAACGAACAAAGAACGAGCTGCGGAGAGACCTCGTATGGAAACCAGGCCTGTGAAGAGAGAGCCTGGTTTACCTCCTCGAACGTACTGGAAAGAAGCTAGGGACAGGGACTGGTTCCCGGACCAAGGGTACAGAGGCAGAGGGCGTGGGGAGTATTATTCCAGGGGGCGCAGCTATAGAGGCTCTTACGGAGGCAGGGGGCGAGGTGGGAGAGGCCACAATCGAGACTATCCGCACTACAGAGACACTAAGCCTCGAGTGGAGCATCTGCCTCCTGGTCCACTCAGGCAGAGGGAAGAGAGTGAGACCCGTAGTGAGAGCTCGGATTTTGAAGTCGTTCCAAAACGGCGAAGGCAGAGAGGCTCCGAAACTGACTCTGACAGCGAAGTGCACGAAAGCGCGAGTGACACCCTTCTTTCGGACAAGGACAGTCTAGGCAAAGGCAAGCATCCCCGGAGAGAAGAAAAGGCCGATGTCAAAAAGTCTGCAAAAGTCCTTTTGTCTTTCAAGCCTGAAAATAACATGCGAGGAGACAATAAAGTTTCAGACAAAACTTACGGGAGGGAAGATGAAAATAAGCCCAAACCAGGTTTTCTTCCCAAAGGAGAACCTTCTCGACGTGGCAGAGGAGGAGTGTTTAGACGTGGGGGTAGAGATCCAGTTGGCCGCCCGCCTCGGCCGTCCACTCTTAGGAGGCCAGGCTACCGGGAAAATCAGTGGAACCCACGGCAGGCCGAAACCTCCAAAGTCGAAGATGGGGAGCCCCCACGACGGCATGAGCATTATGGCTCCATGCCGGTGGATAAAAGACTACCCGCAAAGTTTGAGAGGAAATTTGATCCCACGAGGGAAAGGCCTCGGAGGCAACGGCCTGCACGACCTCCCAGGCAAGATAAGCCGCCACGCTTCCGACGCCTAAAAGAGAGGGAGGCCGCATCAAAAATAAGTGAAGCCACAACTAGTTCATCATCAAGTGCTGCAGTGAACAATGCTGTGAATGAGCAGCCAGGCACGACTTTGGATGTTTCAGGAAATAAGACTCCAGACTTGTCCAATCAGAATTCTTCAGACCAGGCTAATGAAGAATGGGAAACTGCCTCAGAAAGCAGTGATTTCAATGAGAGGCGTGAGAGAGATGAGAAGAAGCTAACAGATGTCACAACGCAGGTGGTTGTTAAAGCAGGGGAAAGCACACTAACGCCCAAACGGGAAATAGCCAAGAGAAGCTTCTCCAGCCAGAGACCTGGGATTGATCGGCAGAATCGTCGTGGCAATAGTGGCCCACCCAAATCTGGACGAAACTTCTCAGGACCAAGGAATGAGAGGAGAAGTGGTCCTCCAACAAGAAGCGGGAAACGAGGGTGAGTTTAATTAGTGTTAATGCCAAGAAAAGCTTAAAAACTCAGGGTTCTGCCTTCATAGGTTTCTGGCGGTTTAATGAAAAGACTTAAATTCATTTGAAGGCATTTGAACTCTACTCAGTAAGTTGGGATGAGAAGCCATTTTTCAGTTGAGGGCTACGTTCGCTCGCGGGTTATACCTGGAGGGTGGGAGCATGCGGGCACTGCCAGGCCCAGAAATGGTTGGTGCCACCTCTTCTCTTCTCTTCTCTTCTCTTCTCTTCTCTTCTCTTCTCTTCTCTTCTCTTCTCTTCTCTTCTCTTCTCTTCTCTTTTCCATCCTACAGCACACTGCCAGGGAGGAAAAGTATCTCTCTCGCCAGATTCTGTACTGATTGTTTCCAGGGCGCTTTCAAAATTAGGCCATGGGCCACTGGCCATCCAGTTGTGCAAATAGATGATGGTTTGAGGAAAGAAAGGAAGTGGTAACAGGGGCACTCTCTAAATTTTTGAGTCGGGAACAGCAGCATAAGCAACTTGCTTACAGCTTAAGACATCTAGGAAAGAGCTGGATAGAATTGCGGAGCACTTGGAAATTCTTTACTTTCTTTACATTTTCTTTAAATGTAACTTTGAAAAGAGAAATAAACCTGGTAAAAATTTTCACTGCACAGCTGAAAACAGCAAAATAATATAGTTGAAAGTATAGTTTCAGCATTCTGAAAGTTAGGAGGAAATCTGACGACAATCCCAAAAACTGATGCTATATCTTTTGCCAGTTCTACAATAAACATCATTCCTTTAATAACACAATTGAAAATAAGAACAAAAAATCTTTATAGAAGATTAAGTGTCTTTATTTAATTCTTGTGGCAATTGTCAGTCTTCCGAGACAGATAATTACAGAAAAGCTCAGTAGCAAAGGTTATAGTTACCAGAATAACATTTTTGAAGTAAGGGAGTGAAGTGAACTTTCACAGATGGACCCAGAAGGCACCTTGGTGAGAACTCGTGGCATAAGTTGAAGATCCCAGGAAAGAAGTTTAGACTTTAGGATCCTTTAGAAGGCATAGCTCATGTATCTGAGCAAAAATAATCCAGACCATTAGCTTTCCATTATGCTAGGATAACAGCTAGGGGGAAGGGGTAGGCTAGCGGTCTTAAACACCTAAGTATTTAAGTCAAGACTTCAGGAACATAGATGGTTGATCTTTACTGAATCAGAACTTTGGTTTATGTGGCTCAGCACTGTTTACACCCGGCTATCAGCATCTTTCCAGAGATTCAGGCAGGAGTCTTTCCAATCCTCCCTGGAAATGCTAGGGATTGCGCCCAAGGTGTGCTGTGCATATGCTGTACCACCAGAATACAGTGTCTTCACTGTAAAATCTCAAACTGCCTCACATTCTCTTGGAACTTAAGTAATTAATTTCATAGCATTCCTGTAAATCTCACTTCAGTAGTTGTGATAATTTTATTTTCAAAATGTAAATATATTCCCTACCTCTGAATCTGTATTCCAAGTCCAATATACCCAGCCCCGTCAGTGTTTCTTCCTATGATTTGCTTCTGTGTATCTTCCTCCCTATTCTGAGCCCTTTATTATGTGACATTATTCTCTCTAAACCCATTGTAATATCCAGGAGAGGGTGTGGTCACGTCAGTTAAAGTCATGGGAAAATCCTCCACAGCACCATGTTTTTTCCAGATCTTTGCTTTAATGCTGGATGGCTTATTCTCTGGGTCTGTTTTTCCGGTGCAGACCGTTTGAAGAACAAATGCCAGTTGTCGTTAGTGCTGATCCGGTCAGCAATAATGTGCATCAGGATGAAAGTGGGAGCAGTGCTGCTCTGAAGGCTTCCAAGGATGCCACCAACAAGAAGCGAGAAGAGTCCAAAGCTGGCCCCAAAAAGCCAAAAGAAAAAGTGGACGCCATCTCTCAGTTTGACCTCAACAACTACGCAAGTACGTACAGTGGGTCTGTTTGGAAATCTTAAATGAACTTCCACGGCTGTCTGAAGCAACATAATAGCATTTTTTCCTTCCAACTGCACCACCCCCATCAGTAACTAGACTTAAAATTTGGGTATTCCTTTCAGGTGTTGTCATTATTGATGACCACCCGGAAGTGACTGTAGTCGAAGATTCCCAGTCAAATCTGAACAATGATGGTTTTACTGAAGTGGTATCCAAAAAGCAGCAAAAACGCTTACAAGATGAAGAACGCCGGAAAAAGGAAGAGCAAACAGTGCAGGTGAAAATCCATGCATTTTGTCACTTTTTTCTAGCATGCATCTTATGGCACAGATTGAGTGACCTGATTCACACGCAGCGGTACCCCATGTTTTATTGCCCTTCCCAGGGTTGCCTGGCAGACAATTAAATAAACTGTTGTTTAAAGTTATTTACCTGCTCCTTCGCTCCGTGCCATATGCCTTTTGTGGCACTGTAGTACTGGCTTCTAGAGTGGCCGGGGGTGGGACTTACCGCTCTTGCCTGCCACCTTTGAAGCCTTGCAAAACCACCCGTCAACAAACTGTGGCTTCTCTTCCTGCTAACATAACTAACAGACCACAGGTGGTTCGTGTTCCTGGGTTTGCACATCGTGACAATCCAGAATTCAAATGAATGAGTTATAACTGTGTGTGGGCCAGGTCATCAACTAGTTAGTGGTGCTTCTAAATTCCCAAGCAGTCTTTCCCTACAAATCCACTTACCACATATCTTCCAATTCTTACAGAAGAATTTGGAATTGCTCTGTTTTGTATTTCCTTGTACATGAAATTTGCAGATTACACAAACTTGATGGTGTCATGGTGTTTCGTATGTTATATTTTATAGTGATTACGGGACAGACAGTCCTGATTTTTATTTTATTTTATTATTTTATTATGTTTACTGTTGGAAGCTACCTTAGGGAATCCTTTGAATGAAAAAGGTGGGGTGGGGGAGACAAAGAAATTATAGAAGGGCATGTGTGTATCTGCAGTTTCTAAAAGTTGGTTAGTGCAGATCTGCCATCCCAGCTCTAAGCAGTATGTGCTACTTGCCATTTACAGCTGATTTTCTAGTATGTCTCTACCTCGATTTCAGAAGGACCATTGTGCTGGCCTCCACTGTCATGCATTGACGGACCACCTTACCTTCTTCAGAATTCAAACCCAGGATTTTTAAAAAAGTGTACCAGCAATATTTATACACTGGTTCTCAATTGCATTGGCTCTCAATAGATCTGGAATTGGTTTACCAACAAACCCCTCTCTGTGTTATAGGTTTAGTGGAAGCAAGCTTGCGGCTGGGAGAAAGCCAAAGTAAACTGGTAGATCTTTATTAACTGCCTGGCACATCACACATTAGCCCCAAGTATCTGGTGTCGGTTTTAGATACATTGGCTCTGAACACAGGACTGCTTTTGTGACTAGTAGTACTAATTGATATGTTTGTCTCCCACATGTTTGTCTAATGGTTAAAAGAGACTTATGGTAGTGACATGCCTTCAGTGGCATGTCACCTAATTAGATGTTATTCAGGCAAAATCTTCAAGCTTTATCTTGAAGCTGCTGTCCATAAATTATAATAAACGATCCTTTTGTACTGAGCATAAATCAGTCTTTCCTGTTGCTTTATATCTTTTGTGATTTTGTAAGCCCACATGCCCCTTCATTTTTGAGCAATTGCAAAATCAGGGCACTATTTCTATTTTGCTTGGCAGAAAACTACAAACTTCGTTAATCTTTATTACTCTTAGGTCTGGACCAAAAAGAGTTCAAATGAAAAAGGAAGATGCCCAAATTCTAAACTGCCACCCAGGTTTGCCAAGAAGCAGCAGCAGCAGCAGCAGGCAACAGCCGCCGCAGCCGCCGCCGCTGCCGCCGCCGCAGCTCAACAGGCTCAGACGCCACTGCCACTGCCGTGCACACCTCAGATTCCCAGTCCACAGAGCTCAGTCCAACCACAAGCACAGGCTGCCTGCGCAGGAAACAGCAACACAGAATATGCAGCCACAAGCAAAAATCTGCAGAACGCTCCTTCGCACAATACTGTCGGGCCTGAATTATGGGAGAATAAAGTGCCACCCACTGCAGTCCTCAATGACATCTCTAAAAAATGTAAGCAAAGGCCTTCCTCCTTCCGGTCTGGGTGCACAAGAAAACATAAAAGGTGTGAACGAGGGCTTGAGGGCCTGAATAGCCGGCATCCTCCTCTGACTTGTTCACCTCGGCTTGTAATTCTGGGTCCCTTAAAAAATCGAAGCATTATCCTGTGGCAGTTTGTCAGGCTGGCTGTGCACATGTTCCCACAGTGCATATTTGTGTCCAGTCCTCCTCCTGCCACTGACTGTCGTGAGCATCTGTAGTGGGTCAGACCTAAGCTATAGCCGATGGGTAGCTTTTCCTGTCTGCTGTTGTGTCTGGGGTGGGGACATGTGTGTTTCTTACCCCACCCCCTTGCCTTTGTATTTTCTTTTTAGAAAATGGAGAAAAAGTGCAGTTTGTTGCCAAAATTCAACAGCAAACTGCTACAGAGACTTAGAAAGGACAAATGTGGTTTGTTTTTCCCATCCCTCCCCCTTTTTCTGTGCACGGGAGCAGCAATTGGGGGAACACCCGTGGGGTGGTCTTTGGTCCCTAGGCTGCACAAAGGTGTTGCATTTTGCCATAAATGGACCTGGCAAAATAATGGGAGTCATTGTACTCTTCCATTCCTTTGCTGGCTATTCCCAGGAAGCTTTTCCAGACTGGGGGTTTGGCTCCGAACCACACTGAGAAGTGTACTTGCTCTTTCTGTGAATGTCAAGCTCCTGTGGCTTTGACCTACTCGTATTGGAATCAGCTGTACGGGAGGGGGCTGTGGATAATCTGGGAGCAGTAATTTCACTGAGTTCCTGGTGCGTATTCCATTCATGTGCTCTGTTTGGACAGATTACTAGTATGGTTTCCCTTCCATCTTCTCTGGACCTTTCGTGCAAAAAGGCTAAAATATTAGAGATTCTTCGCAAGCAGCATGCTACCCTTTATGTCTATATAGGCGAGCTCTAGTTGTTTTGCATTTAGCTTTTTTCCTGTCCAATATTCTGATTCCATTTTGTACTCTGGACTTGCAGTGGGACCCATTAGTCCTCCACAACCTCCTTCAGTCAGTGCATGGAATAAGCCATTGACATCATTTGGCTCATCTACATCTCCAGAGGTAAGCCACAGATAGAATATATTCCGATTTGTAATTTGCTAGTGACTGGAAGTGAAGAGGTAAATTTTTTATCCATTAGCTAATAAAGAAATGAATAACCAGTTTTTCAGAAGTAAAACCACCATCTTTTAACCTGTCATTACCCATGAACTAGTTTACAGCTTTTAATCTATCACCAAGGTTTGATGTCTTAAATAAAACATGATTGATGGGAAATGTCACTGTTCATGGTCATAATTTAATTTCCTGGTATCATTAGAGCTACTTCAGTGCAGCAGAGCAGGACAAATCTGTCCAGGTGATAGATGACAAAAGTAAGACATAATTTCTGGGATCCTTATTAGGGAACAACGCCTGGCCAGGATAATGGAATTGATTTGGGAATAGAAACCATCCAGTTTGGAGCTCCAGCATCTAGTGGGAGCGACAATGAAGTTGGCCCAGTTTCAGACAAGTCCTCTGAGAAGCTTCTTGAACCCAAAGAGCAAAGGCAAAAGCAACCCCGAGCCGGACCTATAAAAGCACAGAAGGTAAGTGAAATGTTCCCGTTCTCATGAATTGCAAGAGTATGTTGAAAATAATGTTTGGTTCCCATGCATACCAGTAGGAGATAAAATGGAACCGCTTGGTCTGTCATGTAATTTTGCCCCTCCAAAGGTTAACAACATGCTGAAGTGAGGGCAGGAGTGCGGAATCAGGGAGAAGTTGAGTGCCTCTGTAAGAAGCCCAAAAACCAAGGACATACCTGCTGTTGCTACATGTGAAAAATCTGTAATTGCTCTCGGAACTACCTGGGAAACACGCAGTAGATTTGCATTCAAAACTCGTTGTGAAGATAGAAGATATATTATGAGTGACTGCTGGCTAATGAAATTGAATGAAATGTGGGGACAACTAGAAATTCAATTTTTTTCCCTTATTCTCCAAATGAGATGCATTCATTTAAGGTTAAAAATTTCTGTGTTCCAATTGCTCATTGATCTACCATATTGGTTAATACCACTTTGATTAATCCTGCTGTGGACACTTTACTATTAAAACTAAGGATGATTTTGCACCACAAAGCAACCCACAATGCAAATAAGTTACATAATGTGAGTCGCTTGCAGAACAACCCACAATGTGCCCAACAAATGAGTTATCCCCCTGTTGCTGTTTCACTTTGCCTTTCACTTGACAACAGTCAAAAGATGAACTGTCAGAAGAAAAGTAAAGGGAGGCAAGGTGATCTTTGTTTGCAGAAAGGAGTGGCAAGTATACTTCTGAATTCACTGTGTATGTTTGACAAATTTCATGTGAAGCCATGAAATGAATTCCCCCCATCCTGTTTTAGCTGTTAAAAAAAACATTAAATAACAACCACTTTTTGACAGTTGTCATAGTCTGTGATCAAGAAAAATGATTATAGATTGTAACTTTCTGGAGAACCTAGATATTTAGAAAAGCATGGAAAAGGTTGAGGACCCTGAGAACTGTTGGGACAATACTTAAAAACAGGATCACACAGCTAAGGGGAGAGATGTACTCCTCTGCATGCATTCCATCTTGGCTTTTACATATTTCTGTATCCTAAAAATAGGGAAAAAATGTGGCAAACAGTAAACAGCCACTCCAGCATGCTGCTTGAGCACACTGAAAGGGCTTTCGGGAGTCTGAGAGGTCATGAAAGGCTTTGAAAGCAGAAAAACAGGCGGGCAAAAGCTGTGGCAGTGACCCAGAGGGGGCTGCAGTCAGAGCAGGGAGAGTAAACCAGGGACCGTCACTCCAAAGTGCCACTTCAGCATCGGTGGAGTAGCTGTCATGGGCAATCTGGGCCAGAGGAACGAGAGTTTTTGCTGTTCTTGCCAAGATGGTCACTTGCTACTTCGCTGGCTCCCCAGTGGGCTTGGTCCTCTGGGTTCAGAGGGCATGAGAAGACACCGTGGGTCCGGCAGCCCCTAGAACTAGCCATGGGCTCGTCAAGATGGCTTGCTGCTCAGGAACAGGCCACCCTCTGGAAGGTGGTCCTGGTTTGTATGGCGTGGTGCCCCACTGTGCCTGGTTTCCTGCAGTGGGTTGCCACGCTGCATGAACCCAAGCGACTGCGGAGTGCGTGTGAATGGTGTGCCTTGGGGAGGTGTGATGTGCACCTCATCCTGGGACTTGGATCTCAGTTGCGTTTGAGCGCATGCCTCATTTTCCTCAGAAGCCATCCTTCAAAAGCCAGGCTTTTACCAGCTGAAAGGACAACAGCATCACTGATATGTCAGTTTGTAACATGCGAAACCGTTTCACACGGAAATTTTTTGATATGTTGTTTAGCTTCCAGATTTGAGTCCTATAGAAAACAAAGAGTACAAGCCGGGGCCCATTGGGAAAGAGCGGTCCCTGAAGAACAAAAAAGTAAAAGAGGCTCAGCAGGGTGACTCTGAGGGGCAAGAGAAGTCCAGTCCCACCACGGTCAGAAGCCCAGACCCCGTTACCTCTAAAGAAACGAAGGCAGCTGCTGAACTTGGAACTGAAATAGGAACAATGATTTCAGTGTCTGCTCCAGAGTTTGGCACAACCCAGAAGGTAAGAAGCAAATGGAGTGATTGCTTAAGCACAATCACCAGTGCAGAATAACTGGAATTCAGTTACAGCTGACTTTGCGTGAAGGATATGGCAGAAAGTGATTGATTTAGGGTACAATCCCATGCGTGTATCAATAGAAAAAGGTCCTACATAGATAGGTTGAATTTTTTTTTTTTAGGTTGAAATTTTTTATTTAAATAAAAGTTGTACCCTTAGTAAATGTTCATAAAATTTCTGGAGAAGCGGAATTCTGTCGAGTGTTTCATGGAAAGCTGAAATCACTGGTGTGCTGTCTGAGCACCCCAGAAGCTTTCTTAATACTCGAAACAGCCTGTGCTTGCCAAACTTTGCCTGTGTGAATCTTTAATGCAAAGCTGCTTTGGTAAGAAATTGTGGCGTTAACTGCAGTAGCAAGGATGGCATCATCTCAAGAGACTCTGATCCAAAATTTGTGCTTCAGTGCAGACCTGACTGTGTGGGACCCACCTGTGATTTCAGTTGATGTCACATCTTTCACTGGATTTGTGGCATTTTTGTTTTATGAGGCGTTCTGACTTTACTATTTTGTAGTTATCAACAGTTAACAGAATGGATCAACAAAAGTTAGTGAGTACTTAACGGCAACAGCATATGCTGGCTGCAGGATGCAAGGATGAGTCGCACTTGGCACAGTGTTAGGCATATTGAAGGTCCCTGTGCAACACTGTATGGGGAAAGTCTTCTCCCTTCTTGAAAGGCACATCTGGAAAGATTGCTTCAAGCCAAAGGGTGGCATTTCAGGCCAAGGGCTCCAGTCTGGCCCTCCTCGGATTTTGATCCAGCATTCCCCAGATGGCCATGCACCCCCAGGCCCTAGTCCCTTTCCCCCAGCCACTACTTGCGTGGTGCTTTTCTGGGTTCTGTGCAGGTTTTTTCTGTTTCAGAATATTAAAATGTCTCCCCTAAGGCTTAGTGATGGCTAGGAGGAATTTTAAGTTGAAGTGTGCTGAAGCAGGGGAGATTGCCTCTTTCTTTTGCCTTCAGCCGTGCAAGTATCTCCAAAATGGAATTCCAAATTCACTTCTCCAGTGTAAAGAGGTTCAGCCCCCACCTCCTCTTTCAGGCCATGTTTTGCCTCACTTTCTAACAAAACACTATTTGAATGCGAGTTAGTCATATAACCTAATTTTTTGCAGTGGCTTGAATTGATGGAAATGCTTTGCTTTCTATATCAAGGAAACAATATGGGATTGAAAAGCTTCTTTCACATCATGTTTAAAACATGTCATATCTCTTACCTAAATCCATCAGGTATTAATAACTCAATATGCATATGAAAATTTAAGTTCGTGTATTATACATGAGTGTTACAGTTTTATTTTTTAAAAGGACTGAATATGTAAGCTTGCTTTTGGAATGGTAAGATGGCTTGACTCCTAATTTAGGAATCCATATTATGGAGAAGTAAAACAACCCTTTTTTAATCTGTTCATGCATTTGAGTGCTCTGTTTCTGGGAAGGTTTTTTTTTTAAATAATACAAGTCAGCTTCTTCAAATTCCTTTTTTTTTTCAGGAGTCTGTAACAGACTATACAACACCCTCATCTCATTCCAGTACAGTGGCAACAAGCAGCGCAAAGATGGAGGAAGCTTTAGTGACTAATGTAAGCATATTAGTGACTTCAGGCCATAACCAGTGCGCTTCACTGTATTTTAAAATTATTGGCAATTATTTTAGTTTTTTATTATTGACAGTCCAATACAATACTTTCTACAGACCTGCTGGGAAAGCCTTCTGCAAATTTTTGTTTTATGAAGCATTGCGCCTAAACAATGCTAAACACTCTTTTTAAAGACCTAATAGATGGAGGCTGGTGGTATGTACATGGCTATTAATTTAATTAATTAAAACATTTTTTTTCAAATTAATGCAATCCGGCAATGCCAAATGTGGAAAAGCTGTGGGAGAAAGTGCCTTAGAGTAAGGGGTTATTTACAGACTATAGTAATGTGTGCTATACCATGTGGCGAGGAATTGCGTGTTGTTACGTTCATTGAGTTGTTCCCACACCATTTCAAGATCCGTTAATGCTTTGGCCTGGGGTGTGGTGGGAGAGCAAACGGATGGTGGTTGAATGAACTGGAAAGAGAGAAAAAGGGCAAGAAAAGAAATATTTGGATGCTTTTCACTTTGCCCACATCTGTCACCAAGATGTGGCCCCTTCATCACCGTTTTCACTGAAGGAATGTGGCCACTGGCCCTAAAAAGGTGGGTAACCCTTCCATTATTTGATATATTCCTCTTGGGTCTTCATAATTTCAGAGTGCAGGTGGAGTATCGCTTAAAATCATTCCCCACATTAAAAGATATGCACACGTCCACTCATTCATGCAAATACAGGCCTTCTCTGTACTACTTTTCCTGATCTAGGGAACTTTTAGATGGGGAGGTAGTCGATCAAGGGTATTCTTTGTTGTTCTTTTTAGTATTCAGTTCAGTATTGCCCTTTCACTGGAGTTTAGATGTGTATCAAAATTGTTGTTCTGTTATACAGTGAACAGATTGGGGGGAAATCCTCTCATCTCAAATACAGAAAGGGAAGTGTTTTAACAACAAAAGTACTTGGGTATTGAGGAACCTGGAAGCTCGCTCTCCATATGTATATTCCTATCACTTTAATAGGATATATTTAACTAATTTGCTCTTCATGCCCCATTCCCACCAAATCTTTGACATTGGCATCTTGCCCTGTGATCATAAAGTTTGCCCTGAGTAAGTGTACATGTAACAGAACACACAAGAGCGGCTAAACTCAGATGACACGGAGTCAGTTGAGAGTTCTCCTGTAGATTGATGGACTCCTCCCTCTCCTTCCACTCTGAACTCATGTGTTACTCCCTCCTCTCTTCTGTGGTTTGCAATAACTAAACTTTGGTTAGCAGCAGCCATTAATTGTCTCCATTTGAGAGGCTGAAATCGTGGTTTGAACCCTTGCTTTGGATTCGCAGGTCACCAGAATAAAACATCAGCCGCAATTAGCTCATGCTTGGCAAAGGAGGCAGAAGGAGTGTGCGGGCCTTAGGGCCTGGCGTGCCAGAGGCTGTGGGGCACTTCCGATTCCTGAGCCGTGGCGCCACGACAGTCGCATTCTCTCTTTTCCTCAGCTTTCTTTCACATAGCTTTGAATCCATGCACTTGCCACTTCAGGGCTTAAAAAAAGCAGGAGCTGCACACAAAAAGTAGTGTGTAGGTGATGGCCCCTCATCAATCAGTTCCAAGACTGGCATAAAATGTGAATTATCAGACCTTCTGGAAGCAAGCGTGTGTGTTAGTTGGCTGCATGTACTTGACAGAGTGGCACAGGTTCATTGCCACTTGATGTCTGATTGTAAAATGCGGATGGCTAAGTACTTTCGAAACTCATTGTGGGGGCTGGGTAACACTGAAGCAACGTGGTGCTTCGGAGAGCAAAATCAAACGTGCTTTTCTATGAGGTGCCCCTTTCCACAAGCCGGCAGAGGCTTGGGGGGTTTGCTTGCTGCAACTGATGGCGCAAGCTGGCAAGTGCTGCCTGGCAACTGGAGGTGCCCTGTGAACAGGGAATCCTGTCTTTCTGCTTTGTGGCTTATTTCCGGCGTGACGTGCGTGTACGTTTGGAAGGGGACAGGAGTGGAGCAACTCTCCGAGAGTTTCCAGTTGATAGTTTCCTTTCAAACTGACGTGGTGACATTAATTACACCTTGTTCAGATTGATCACAGTATGAGTAGTTTTTTGTCATCCCTTCTATTCGTAATGGTTTGAAGGGTTTGAGGTGGATTACATTCGTGTTGGAGCACCTTGTAATTCTTGGGCGACTTTGTACTGCATTATTGAAGTGAGATTTACCCACAGGCGCGTGGTTTGAAAATGTCCTGTGTCTTCCTTCTTTGAACGAGCTTCATCTCATTCTGTGGCAACATCATGTAAGGGTGATTGTAAGAGCATTGGTCATGCGCAGGAGAACAAGAGCATCCATCTGTTCTTTCGCCTTACGATTAGGTCTTCAGCGATATCTATTGAGGGCCTCTAGGTCAAGTTCAAATTCTTCCTTCCGCTTTGGGAGCCCAGCTGAAGAAACGTCTAGTGAAAGTATTATTCCCACAACAATCTGTTTTTGTGGTCTTGTGGCACTCCGAGGTGGACAATCCTCCATTGCTGCACACAGGATAGACTCCCCCCGCCCCCAAAAGATACCGGACTTTTTCCCCTTCCTCTTTCAGAGCATCCCTCCCAAATGCTTAAGCCTGGAAGATGACCTTAGTGGAGCAGACTGCTTGAGCTCTTGCTTTGAATGGGGCTTTGTGACAGACCTAGCTAGAATGTGATGTGTGTTGCCTGCCTTTCAGGTGCCCCTGCCCCACACCCTCCCCCTCCCTAGGAGGGAGACTCTCCAACAGAGCTCCAGCCTAACGCCAGTTTCTCCCGCTACCGTCGACCTCACCCGCAAGGTATGTACCACATCCCTCTAAGGGTCGTTTGTTTGCATGCAGGGGAAAGACAGAAGGATATCTTGCTGCGGACAAGATACCAAAGAGTTTTGAAAGCAACTGTTTGCTTTTTAGACCACTAGAATGAGGGTATTTAAGGGGGGGTTCATAAATTACCTTAACCCCACTTTTTAACTAACACCAAGCCACTGACTCTTGCCCGCTCCTCAGAGACATGTCAGAGTATTTATTGGATGGACTTTACCATGATGTGAGTGATTTTGTTTCCCATAGAGAACATCTGGAAGAGAGGCTGTGGTAGACAGGTAGCTCCCGAGACTTTTCTCCGAAGTTGGTTGTGTTGTTTGGAATTGCAGTGCTTAGCATAGCTGTGTGCAGTAAACAGATGCTGGCTGGCTAATGTGGAACACATTGAATAGGAGACTGGCAAGGTTGGATAGTATTCCCCGGGGCTTTAGCTGTTTTTCTGTATTCCAAGCTGATAAAAACCCTTCCAGTGGTATTGTGTGAGCTGTGTAAGACAGGTATTCTTGGCGTTGTGTGAGCTCTGTAAGACAAGCGCTATTCCTGCTGTTCATTTAGATTGCATTATGCATCTCATGTTTTAGAGTGGATCTCTCGGCAGCATTGCTTGAAGGTTGATACTGATTCTCAGTGCTGTAAATGAGCTAAGAAGTAGAAGGTCAGGTCTCTGTCTCAGCTTTTCAGTAAGGATGCGAATCAGCATGGCTTGCAGTTTCCTTTTCAAAGGGGCAGGCATGATGCGTTAGCAGCAGCAAATGCCAACCTCCAGATGCGTGAGAGAGGGAGCAAAACCACGCAGTCCTTGGCAGATGACTTGCTCCCTAAAATGGCTGTGTGGCCGGTCCGCCTCTGTGCTTGTCCTCTTAGTCTCTGGTCCACGTGGCGGGGGTGGTATAAAGGAGACTTGGGGCAGTAGAAATTCAGCCTGGCCGATCAGCTAGTGCGCAGAGCAGACGCTTCGTACTTGCTCAGTGCTCAAATGTGAGGTGATAACGTAGCGCTTTGGCTCTTTTAAATGGCTACAGTCACGTCTGTGGGTGCATGCGCACGCTCAGTCATGCAGGCCCCTGTGCATTTTATCACACTTTCGTGTAACTCATTTCAGTGGGGCTTCTGTGTGAGAGCTCCTGACAGGAACATGCCCCTAAAGCTTTTTAAACTGTGCACAAACTAGTGTGCTTCTTGCCTTTTTTGGCATAGATCGAGAACATGTTTTCTGCGTACGCAATAGAGAAGTAAGCTTCTTGATAAACTAAGATTAAAGGTTGGAATATTAAAGTCCCACATTTCAAAATACCTCTGAGAAGTGTTGTGGAAGGCATTACACTGGACTGAAAAGCTGCTTTTGGCAACTTCATACTCAGCAAAACTTCCACATAACATTTTTTGCAGCTGTTGCTCAGATTGACATGGCTGTGGTGACTTTTTCTCCCGAACTCTTTCAAACCTCCAGTTCACGTTAAAGAATCATTACATGCCCCTCTTGCGCTTCTGCAGATGCATTCAAAGCACGTCTGGCTCTGATCAAGTAATACACCATAGTATTTTCAGGATGATGGGTGATCTGAGAAACTGTTCAAATGTTTGGTATATGATATTTGGTATGTGTTAATTGACTATTGTGAGTGTAATCGCAAGCATTGTAGAAAGTCAAAGACCATAGGAAGACAGTGGGTAGATAAAGCTGTTTTGTCATTCTTTGGTAGTTTTATGATCCGTATTTGATGTCTTGGTATTGATCCTTATTCCTGCCAGCTATGTCAGTGAGCCAGTTTTACATTTTAATCTTTCTGTTTTGCTTTGTAGATGTTGTTCCTTCAGTGAGTGTTTCAGATGTTTTACATCTTGAGTCATAATTTTATATTAGGCTTATAGAGTAGGAAGGACTTGAAAAAAAATTGTTCCATCTTCCAAATAAAAAATATGCCACACAGGCATAATATAATATTGTTGGACTGCAAACCAAATCGGATGCTAGCTTGCACCAGGCATGGTAGTTGCAAATAATTTCACTAGAAAGCTAAAGGTTCATTTTAAACTAAAGTAACAAATGCATAGTTTTATTGATGACAAGTGGGTATCCTTTAAAAAAATCTGTTGACATCAAATAGTACTGTGTCATAAAGACCAACAAATCTGTTATTACTTCTGTGAAAACAATAGCATAGAATCTCAGAGCTGTCAGAAGCAATGAGGATCTGAGCCAGCCTTTTCCAGCGTGGGGCCTCCAGGTGGCTTAACCTTTAGCCCCAGCTAGTGTGAGTCAGGAGTGCTAGTGGTTGTAATCTGAAGCGCCTGGAAGGCATCACTGAAACATCTGGATGGTTGGCCAGACTGATCTCAGTCCTGATTCTTACATTATGAAAATACTAGGCTTTTTCAAAAAGTTTCTGCACTTTTTAAAACTCTATTAAGAATTTCAAAAACAAATTACATCACTTTTCTACATAGTCACCTTCCTTTGCGACGCATTTTTCCAGTTGCGTACTAACTTTTTAATGTCATCAGCAAAAAATATATAAAATATATTTATCAAATATAAAATATAAAAGTGCAATAACTTTTTGAAGACCCCCTCATATAATTTAAATGTATATTTTAAGAAATGCAGTTAGTTCCTCATCAGTTTTGATTGCTTTAGATGACTACAGAAACTACTCTGAAAAGATTTATTAAATCTATTAGATTTTATGGCACTGCATAAGGCTTGAGTGATGTTAAAATAGTGGTTTATGCAAACCATGTGTTACTCTGTACTGATCAGAGGGGCTGAGATAGTTGATTCAGAATAGGATCTTCAAAGCTACACCTTGATACTAACAAGTGCAACCATTCACTGTTTATGGAAATTATATGTAGGTACAAATCTGCCCTTACTGCCTTTTTTTTTTTTTTTGGTTATAACTCAGCATGCCTAAAAACTCAAACTTATTTCATCTTGATTTTGTTTCCTGCTGTGCAAATTAAAAGCAGCAAATGTGGTATAAAAAGCAAAAGTTTGGCCATTTTTCTTCCCTTGTTATTCTAATGGACATGCAGGGTTACACTGTACTACATTTGGCTCAGTTTGAACTGTATTAATATAAGTCCCTACGGCTCATATCTGGAGTTGAAAACTTGTGCTTGATTAGTTGTTCCGTTAACATAATTATAATTTGTGCATTATATAGCTGAAGTATACTTCTAACATGTAAGAGACTGAAGAATCACACTTGTTTCTAATCTTTGCTGTATTGTTTCCTTAATTCTAATTTGAAAACACTAAACAGTTCCCATATTGAACCTTGTAAAGCAGTGCACTTTTCCAGGCAGCTCACTGGATGCTATCTAGTATGACGATCTGAGAACATGACTGAAAAGCAAATCTACTGGGTATCTGTGTTTAAAGCAAAACAATTCCCTTCTCTGAATAGATGGAATCTGCCCGCAAGGCATGGGAGAATTCCCCCAACGTGGGAGACAGGAATTCACCAGTGACATCTTCGGCGTGTCCTGTGACGAGTGGCAGCAGTGGAGGCGGGGGCAGCAGCAGTGGCGGTGGACCAGCCAGTGGTACATACAGCTCTTTCTCAAGCGCATCAGTGCCTCCCATTCCTGTGGCTTCAGTGACACCTACCACTTCGTTGTCAGGTATCGGCCTTTAGACTGCACCATCAACTTTTGTGCTCCTTAGCATCTTCTTGAGAAGTTTCTTCCGTTCCTCTGTGCATCACTTCACTTAACACTATTCTAAACAGACTATATGTAGCTGGTCTGGTTTGGTTTGATTTATACTGAGTATAAACAGTGCCTTAACTGAACTGATAACTTCTCCTTACTGCTCATCCATCCAAGACACTTGAATAGGATCTTATTACTTGAATAACACTGACAAAGTCCATGAATAGTACAGGGCTCTAAAAAGGACTTCATAAGCTTGCAAGTTCCAGGTGGTACAGAAAGCAGCCACCGAAGTACTTGTTGGAGCTAGGCAATCAATAGATTCTGTAGCAGTAGCACCTGTTACCAACGTGACTTGGAGACAAACTTGGAGTGTTGGCAGTGTTCAAGTTTATCAAGATCACCCTGGGATCTTCATTCTGTCTTCTAGGATGTTTGCTATTCCACCCAGTTTTGTATCATCTGCAAATCTGATTATCTTTCCTTGTACTCCCTCATCTAAATCATTAATAACGATGTTGAAGAGTACTGGGCCTTGACTGAACCCTAGAGGACTATGTCTGGAAATTTGGCCTAAAATGCAGGTAGTCCCCTGGTTACAAACATCTGGCTAACGAACAACCCATACTTAACTAACATACAGACTGCCATTGGCCATATATGAATATCTCTAGTGAAAGGCTGTGAATATCTCTAAGGAACTATGTGATGTGTTTGACAACATGTCACCAGCGGCTGCATAGATACCATATTCATGACTTTTTGTTCTGCAGCATCGGCTGAAGCATATCCATGTGTTTGGGTCACTTGTAGGGCTCATAGTTTCCCTTTAGTTTTTTTGTAACATTTGCCCTGGCAGCCAGGTTCTCAGCTGCTACAAGGCCATTTATGGTGAGAAAAAGAAAATGGCTATACGAACAACCTTGCCTACTTCAAGAAAGCAACAAGAGTGGTAACACACACGCCCATCAGCACAGTCAAAACCCAACTCTCCAGCACCATGGCATCTGCATTATCATCAGTTACTGTTAGGCTTAATGTTGGCTCGAGAACATTCTAACCTGCTTTAAGAACTCTGCGTTTCTTTTTTACAATACTGTATACCTATACACCTATATACAGACATGATTCTCTCTCTTCAGTACCTGTAGTCACTTTATTGTTACTGTATTATCATTATTTTAATGCTGTATTGTGTTTATGTTGTTTTAGCAGTATGAAAGTGTTTAAGTGTTTTCTGTGCATAAAAAGGTAAAATATATACAATTACTAAGACAAAGATAGAGCTTACTCATGTGATCTGACTTATCTACAAATTCAACTTAAGGATGTTACCAGGAATGAAACATGTCTTTTATCTGGGGACTACCTTGTACATCAAATAAGAGGCAGGACACTGTTATTTGCAGAAAACCTTTTGCCGTCTCAGCTGGGGAGACACTCAGCCTTGGGTCTGTGTACTGTTCTCTTATGCATGTCCTAAACTGCTCCATAGTTTTGTGTCCATGATTATCATTCTCTTCGATTTAAGTCATTACTAGATAGAGCTGGCACAGGATCCACGCCCAGGTAAAAGAGACCTCACAAGACCAGGTGTCCCCACTATGTGTAATTTATAAGATTGGAGCAGCTCTGGGAAGACACGGTGTGTCTTCGGTGTGTGCCTCTTTCATTCAGAAGTTAGGTTCATGTAGCAAGCTTTTCATCTTCATGCTACCACATATAGGAAGAGGCCATCTCAAGCAGTATTGATCAAATGCTCTAGTATACTAAAGTGAGACAAAAATCTGTTAGTAAAGCACTGCTCTAAAAACAGCTGGTACTTTTTAATTAAAGTGCATCAGACATTTTACTGATTTTTGGTAGCTGTTGAATCATTGCTTTGCTGGTTGTAACCTTAGGCGCTGGAACATACACTACCTCTTCACTGAGTACGAAGACCACCACCACCTCTGACCCACCCAACATCTGTAAAGTGAAGCCACAGCAGTTACAGACAAGTAACTTGGCATCTGCTGGTCACTTTTCCCAGCTAAGCTGTATGCCGTCGCTAATTGCCCAGCAGCAGCAGAGTCCACAGGTCTATGTGTCTCAGTCGGCAGCAGGTAATGGGGTGGGGAACGAGACATTGCTCTATTATTTCCTCTATTATTTATTTATATTGTATCCCACATTCTTCTTGCAAGGACCCCAAGAGTCCTCCTCACCATTTTCTTCTCACAACAACCCTGTGAGGTAGGCTACGCTTGAGGGCCAAGTGGTGACAAGACCTCCTCACCTCCCGAGTTCCAGTCCACCATGCTAACCACCGTGCCACAACAGCTCCCAATTTAAGCGCAGTGTTTCTTATTTTATCTGGCACATCCTTGCAGTCTGTTCTTTGCTTCCAGCAGAACTGATTTAAATGTTTTATATTCAGAGTAAATGCATATGGTTCTTAAACTGAACATAGAAATTCCTCTGGAAGTTGGCAAGGCCTGTCCTTTTTTTCCCTTTGAAAGCCATACATCACACACAGTTAAATGTCTGATGGATCGGCAGATAGTATGACTTAGCTTTATCATTATTCTAGGCACAGTTTCACTGGCTTTTCTCTCTCCTTCTGGTTCCATAGCTCAGATTCCCACTTTCTATATGGATACAAGCCATCTGTTCAACACCCAACATGCACGCCTGGCTCCTCCTTCCCTGGCCCAGCAGCAAGGATTTCAGCCAGGACTCTCACAGGTACTTGGGGCAGGCATAACAAACTGCGGATCTGTGAGCCAGCTGCAGCCATGCTGTGGCCTTGGAGTGGAGTCGTTCTGCAGAAGCGTTTCACCAAGGCATTCCCCTCTTCTGGAGTGTTAGAGATGTAACACCAAGGGCTGGCTGGCTGCCCGCCCGCCTGCCCGCCTGCCTTGGAAGCCCTCCCCAGCCTCACTCTCTTTCCTCGTCATTCACTCACAGACTCAGAAGAAAGCTCAGAGTGAGCCCGTGCTGGGGTGGAGTGGGTGAAATGTAGGTAGAGGTGTGGAAAGGTGTGTCATCTCTTGAGAGGAAGATGGAGGGTATGTGGTGTGCTTAGGATGGGGCAAGGGAGTGCGGGTGGTGACCACCACATCGATGTGGCTCCCAGCAGATTTCTTTGGGGCAATCCCAACAGGCTTCTCCCCCAGGTTCTTGATTGATTGATAGCATTTGTATGCTGCAAAACTTGGCTTGCATTCTGAATCAGGACTCAGTTGTTCTCCATTTAAAATGCTTCTATCCAGCCTAACCAGTGAGCTGTGGCCACAGCTGGTGGCTCATATATTTGGTATTTGATCGCCTCTCTGTCAGATGCAAGACCTGGGGCGCCTGCTCCAGTCCATTGTTCTTATAAGCCCAAAGTCCAGCACAAACATTGCTGATAATTCCCATTACTTTTAACTTTCTAGCAACTGGAGGATCGCGTACAGTTTTTGTGAAGCCCAAAGGCTATGCTTCTACTTGCTCAGAGGCAAAGTTTCAGTTGTGTTCCCTGGCAGTCCCTTCACTTTACAGCATTTCCAGTTAAGTGAATCTCAAGTAGCAGTGCTGTAAAAGGACCTCTCTTTGCCAGTGGCCTTGAGGAGCCACCTTGACAGAGTAGACTGGCTGGATGGGCTTGACTTGCAGCCTTTTTCAGTGTCCAGGTGTTTGTGGTCTGTGGCCATTAAATCACTTCTCTTCCTTGCAGCCTACTTCGGTTCAGCAGATACCAATCCCCATATATGCCCCATTGCAAGGTCAGCATCAACCCCAGCTAGGATTAGGAGCAGCACCTGCTGTCTCCCAGGCTCAGGAATTGTTCAACTCTTCATTACAGCCCTATAGGTAAGTGTTCTGAAGGGATAACGCAAAATCTGGAAACAGAAATCCTTTGTTTTTAGCCCTTTCCTCCAGTATTCCGTTCGTCTTCATTAGTGCAGTAGTGAAAAACCACTATTTTATGCCCAGAAAAGATTAAGTTCTGAAGTTGCATTGTATGAGCCAAGTTAGCCAAAACAGAAAAATGACACAAACCGTTTAGTTTAGAATGGTGTGAGTTTGTTAGGAATCAGTGTTCCAGGTTTACAAAATTGAAATACTTGGGCATGGTGAGGGCACGATTAGTGCATGGCCTGCCCACCTTCTGTCTGTCCAGAATTTCAGTGGTCTCTCTTAATTGCCCTCTGTGTGATTTCCCTCTGCTGCTCTGAGAGGAAGCATTTGAAGCGTCATGAATGTCTGGGGCGGCATTCCTACACATTCCTGTGTTGCACCTTTTCAGTTGACCTGGCTTAAAAATTATTTTAACAAGTTGAGCCAGTACAAGACAGTTGCTAGCTAAGTGGCTTTAGATTACACGTACAAGATTTTTTCTTACTCAGAAATCTGAAATCAGTGCATTTGCATGGATTTCCCCCCTATTTTCTTTCCTGGAACAAGTGATTTTCATCTGTTGTACCTTGCTGCACCTTGGAACTTTTCTTTGCAAAGGCAGCTTTTACAGCTTAGTAACATTTTGGCGGACTGACTCAGGCGAGGTTTGTTTTATAGATCCCAGCAGGCTTTTATGCAGAGCGGCCTGTCTCAGCCGTCCCCAGTGGTTCTCTCTGGCACGGCTTTGCACAACTTCCCAGCAGTGCAGCATCAGGAGCTCGCCAAGGCACAGTCCAGCCTCGCCTTTCAGCAGACTTCGAACACTCAGCCCATCCCCATCCTGTACGAACATCAGCTGGGCCAAGCGTCAGGACTGGGAGGTTCCCAGCTCATTGATACGCATCTGCTTCAGGTAAGAGAGCCAGGTTGCTTCTGGGTACATACAACACGGAAAGACACCTGCCTTGGGAAGCACTGGGTCCCCAGCCTGCGCACAGAGCAATGTGCTTTAATTATTCCAGCTCAGCAACTGGAGGAAGGTTTCCCATTACCGGGCTGGTCTTCATGTTGCATCAAAGGCACCCGCTGCCTTACACAGACAGCATCCCTGGTTGATGCGGCATGCCCTTTGACCATTTGAACGCCAAACGCTTTCTCCCACTAGTGTTTCACATATTTGAGCACTCTGTTGTGGAATTCCTCACGAATGAGACAGGTGCAGGGCAGGTGCCACCACCTCTGGCAACGGCCTGGGCCCCCCATGCCGGGCACAGTCTCCCCGACATAGCCCCGCACTGGGGTCACCCAGTTCTCCAAACAACCGCGTGTGGGGGCGTTGGGGAGGCCTAGAGGGCAGGCGGCTGCGTTGTGCAGGTCATGGTGCTGCTACGAGCGGGTCGCAAACCCAGGGCCATCTCTGGTTGAGGTTCACATGCAGGCCCCTCTCCCACGTCTTATAGTGCCCGTCCTTTGTAGGAACCCTAACCCTCATTTGGCCAGGAGGTGTTTGTGCTGCTTTTTATGTACCCTTTCAGGTATGTCTTGCAATCAATAGCCACGTGGGAAGTTTACGTAAATAAGGGGAACCTTGTAATCACATTTGCCCCTCCTGTAAGTGTAAAAAGTATGTTGAGGAGAATTGCGATGGCCCAAACGAGCGGCGCGTGTTTGTCCTGTTCTTCGCAGTAAAATGGCATTGCCTCATCACCTAGAAAATGTCGACCTCTCTCTTCTCAGGCCAGAGCTACTCTTACCCAGGCCTCCAATTTGTATTCTGGACAGGTTCAGCCGCCAGGCCAGACCAGCTTCTATAACACTGCTCAGTCTCCCAGTGCGCTCCAGCAGGTAAACTATAACACGGTAAATTGCTTTCAGTTTTACTCAGTGTCTGTGTGTGTGTGTGTGATACCGCAGTCTCATGGCAAGAGAATAGCCTGTTGAAAGCAAGGTGTCGTGTTCCTTCACACAGGCCATGTTGCTGTGCTGGATGGGAGCAACTTCAAACTAAAAATTAAATTAAAAATAAAAATGTTTTAATAAATAAATAAATAAAAATAAAACAATTCTTTAACACAGAAGAATACCTTTTGATAATAACTACCGTTTCTTTGAACTGGATACCTCAGCACAGGACTTCTGTTATCAGATGTCTTCCTTTATTACTTACACATTCTCTTGGCAAGAGATCACTGTTAAGTTTGATGTGATGCTGTTTATTCCAGTTACTGTTAGTGATGACCCTGGAACCAACAGCTAGCAAGTGCGGCTTCCATTATGCCAATGTGCGTTGCGCATTGTGTCTTGCAAGAGCACAGTGCAAAATAGATGTGATTTTAACTCTTCTTTTTCCATTATGGGAAGGAATGCTCAAGAACTGTAACTTTTAACCAGCAACCCAAATAACCATCGAGTTTGAAAGGAGAAGGCCAAGCTTGCTGTTGGTGGCGCACTGCAAACATTGGTTGAAGTGGTGCCAGCCTATAAACAACATTAGGACATAGGCCACCTGGGATTTCTGTTCTCTAGAATCCCCTGAGCTGAACTGAGGGCTCCATTCTTTTCTTTGGTTGCAAAGGATATTGGGCATCATCTGTTGACAGAATAGCCTTGCAATGGCTAGTGATGTGGCACTTGGCTTTGTTGTCCGGTAGTTTCTGAGCAGAGGCATTTGTGCAGTGCGCGTATTTTCACCCTTCCCCTGGCACTTCACGCACTTGGCTTCGCCTGGCGGTCCGTCACCTCTCCCTTGGGTTTGTGCCTGGACAATGAGGATGCTAATCCCCAAGGAGGAGGGCCCCTGGCTGACGTCCTGCTAAGAAGGCAGGCTGGTGGTAGTTCAACAGGCCCTCCAGTAGATGAGGAGACCCGGGTTGCCTCCCCAGTTTACTGTCAGAATGGTGAGCGAATGCCAAGTCAGGTGCTGCATAAATAGATGCCTGTGATGGAGCCATGCACGAGCAGGGCAAATTGGCATTTATTGCAGCGACCTGGGAAGATTAGTTCCAGGCAGGTGGACTTCTCAGCTGTGTTGGCATGAGTACGCCATTCAGCAGCAAAATCAGTATTTCCAGCATGCTTACTCTATCCTCCATCCAGAGAAAGATTGCTGGGGCAGCTCACAAAGACCATTGATATTAAAACAGGCTAATTCATTAGAGAGTAAGGTTTGCGGTAACCTTTTTTACACTACCTTTTTGCTAGGCTAGGCTGTCCGTCATCTTGAGTATGAGCTCCAGTCTTGTGCATCCTCTTGTCCTACCTGTCAGGGATGGCTTCACTGGGAGTCCTGCACTGAGCAGGGGGTAGGCTTGATGGCCCTCTGGCGCCTTCCAACTTCCAGCTGCACTATTCTATAAATGTCCCCCATTTTTGGTCCCTGAGATGGGCAGTGATCAGGGAGAGTTGTTTCTGTAAAGGAAGCTCATCCCGGGACGTCTTGCCACATAGGCTTGCCTTGCTCCAACATTTGTTTTTTCAGTACCAGGTAAAGCACTTCTATTTGCTCAGAGAAATTTAGTTCTGTGTTTTTATCTTTGTGATTCTGTATATGGCTTGTGTTAACTGCCTGTGTTTTAAGGTTCTGTTTTATGTTTTAATATTTAATGACCATTGATTCTTAATTATTAGCTGTTTTGAGACTGGGATTGAAGAGGATTTAATATTTAAATTTATTTCAAATAAATTTAAGACCATGCCGATATTGCCAAGGCATTTCAAGTTTTTCTAAAGCACAAGTTGACTCTAAGGAAGCCCAAATCCTACTTCAGAAACTTGCATGTTCAAGGGAATTATGGCAGCAGTAAGAAAAGGTTACAGGGAGAGGAGCAGAGGGAGAATTCCTTCTACGAAGAACCCTGTGCAGCTCTAATGTGTTTTCTGAATAATAAACTCTGCCCACATTAAGTTTTGTTCTTCAGCCCCAAAGGACAGGAATGTGGATGTTGCTTCTTTTCCAAGGCAGTGGAGAACAGCCGCATGTAGAGCGCAGAATGCACGCGGCAGAAACAGCTTTGTTTTGATGAACCTGCATTACCAAGGTGCACCTTTCAGGCTCACTCTTCCTCCTGTTTTTCCCCAGGTGACAGTACCTATACCAGGATCACAACTTTCTTTGCCCAACTTCGGATCCGCTGGTCAGCCTTTAATCGCTCTTCCACAGACCCTGCAGCCGCCACTGCAGCACACCCCCCCACAGCCTCCCGCTCCGAGCCTGAGTCGGCCGGCGCAAGTGGGCCAGCCCTTCCGAGGGCTCATTCCAGCTGGAACCCAGCATGGCATCATAGCAGGCAAGGTAAATGCATTGCCGTACATGCTGATGGACTTCCTCTGCCAGGCACCTGCAGGTATAGCAGTAGCTCGGGAGGCTGATGCCTTGATCCTTACAGTCCGCAACCAAATTAAGTGAAAGGGGCAAGGTTGGAACTATTCTGGGATTCAGAGCCATGTGCCGGTAAAATGTATCTGGTGGTGGGCATTGTCATTCTGCCTAGCCTGGCCTTCTTAGCGCCCCACCTCTCCACCCTAAACCATCCTGCTGTGCCCAGGCGGACTGACTGGTGGGTGCATATAGCCCGGGAAAAGAGGGGCTGTGCTGGGCGCTAGCCCTCTGGAGGGCCTGGCGAAGCCCTGGAACAGCATGGTGATGGAGCTGCTCTTTGACCATAGCAAAGTTTTACCTGTCTGCCTGCCTAACAACATGGAGACACGTGTAGAGACTCTTTGCTGCTATCTGCCCAAAGCTCATCAGGTCTAACTCTTGCAAGTCTCAGTAGGGGAACAATAGGGATGTCCTTAATTCACTCATGTATAGGGATTAAAGCTAACTCTGTCTGGGTTTGTTGGGTCTGTGCTAGGCCTGTGACAGTCTCTGTTCCGTTGGGAAAGGCCGGACACAAGGGCATCCCTGGAGAAAATGCTCCGTGGTAGAATCTGCCCAGGGAAATGGGTGGGAGCCCAGGAAAAGCGGCCTCCCTCCTGTGCATGTCCAGCGGGATTTCCTTGGGCTCCGAGTTCTTTTAGGGGGTGCGTGCTTCGCTTTTACTTCTGTCTATGCAGGGTCAGTGGTGCTTCCAGGTCTGTGCTGGCTCGCTTTGTGCATACATAAAAATGCATGTCTGAATACACATTAGTGCATTAGTGTTGCACAACTTTATTCTTTTCCTTTTGACTCTCTCAAGATGGGTAATAACCGTGGAAGATGATTTAATTTTCTTTGTGAATATGGAGAGGCAGGTATGCAGATTGTGAGCATAGTAGCTTTAATATGCCAACTCGGACCACACGCAGCAGCCAAACTCTTTCCCCTGGAGGGCAAAAGGAACGCTTCCTTGCTCTCTTCTGGGTTGCAGCTTCTTTGCTCTCGTCTCCTTTATGCTTTACTCGGGAGACATGCAGTGGACTTTACTCATGCAAGAGCTGCATGCTGATCTGTCTTCACTGCTGAGCATTTATTATTAGCTGGCACAGAAGTTCCATCCCTGGGAGTGTAAATCCTAATACATCCAAGTAAGAAAATGATCAACTGCTTTAATTCCAATCTGTTTGGAATCCGATCTGGAAATTCTAGGTTAGTTTAAGCACTCTAGTAAAGGCCTTGTGAAGATTATAGCTCTCATAAAATGATGAACTTGGTGTTTTCTTCAGATGGCAGAAATGGACCTGAAAGCCTTCGGAAGTGGCATTGATGTTAAGCCTGGCACACCTCCAGTTTCTGGGCGAAGCACCACTCCAACTTCTAGTCCCTTCCGGTAAACAAGTCTTTTCAAACAAGGCAGCTTGGAAAGGGATCCAATGGTGGGGGGGAATACCAGTACTGAGCTAAATGCTTGCATAATGGTGCCGCTTTGGCAACAGATAACAGTATAAAAGTGCTTAATAACTAAGCATAAATAAAGTCTGTGGTTTGGAGAAACATTTGTGATTCTAGACTAGTTTGTGCAGAATATGGTCTGGGCAAGAATGTTTAAGTGGACAAAGCATTTTAACAATGTGGAATAAAAAACCATGCTACGTATCTTTGACTTCTAAAATGTCCTGGCTTTTGTTTTGTTTTGATTTTTTTTTTAATGACGCGTTCCTGGGGATAGGAGGAAGTGGGTGGCTTGGCTTTGAATACATGTTTTAACATTGCCGGTTGTAGATAAGCGTTTTGGCCTCTGTTGCCATCCATCGCTTCAGGATTTTGCTGTTCGGCTTCCTTTCTTGTAAAGAGATTATATCAATGATTGTTGAGCTTCTCTGGACTTGGATGGAAAGGGGAACACATTTGGAAACAGGGCAATTTATTTTGCAGGAACTGTGAAGACAGAATGGCTGCACACTTGCCAAATTTCCATTTATTTCAGCAGAACTTACACAGGTGTGTTTCTGCAGGATTGTCCCTCAAATATGCATGAATGCCAACAAGCTCTTAACTATGATACGGACATTGTATGCTGCTCGTGAAAGCCTTACACTCTTTGGTGAAGTGTCCTAAATCTAATGAAGAGGCTGTTGCTTCGAACCACTTGTTATCCCACTATGCATTTTTCTACATAGCCACTACATTGAAACCTGAGTAAGCCCCTACCCATGCTGGATTAAGCCATCATAGAGCACATGTCCCTTGGTATTTCTCACCAAGCCTTTGGTCACAGATTGAAGTAGCAATGACTGGTTAGGGCCGGTGTTGTACTAGGGTTTCAGATCACCCCAAATCTCCTGAGGTGAGTGAAATGGAACTTATCTGTTGAAAGACATTTCAGAATGTCTTAAGTCCTACCTGTCTTTCTAGCATTGCTTGGAATTCACAACTTCTGAGGAAGGCAAGAAAAGGGAGGAGGGCAGAAAGTAGTTGGATGGTATCCAGAGAGCTGCCTGAAAGTATCTGCATTCATCCAGGAGAATCACTGTTGTTCTGGCTGGAGCCATATTCCAGACTGCCCTTTAGAATCGCCCTCTCTTTCGGAGGCAGTCTGCCAGGCAGCCTTGGGCCACAGGTACTGCCTGAGGAAGAAGAGTCCCCCTTCAGCTCCTGTAACTAGGTTCATGCTTCATTAGAACCTGCCAGTTGCTAGCAGAGTCAGGGGTAGAATTGTAAAGCACACTGGAGTACAAAGTCAGTGGAAGTCAAAACAGACGGTGGTACCTGGTGTTCAAAGGGCTTGGACTGGTGCTTCCTTGCGGATGAAGTCCTGTGACGAAGTCGCAGAAAGTGGAGAGCACAGGTGTCCAGAGCGCTGGGGGCAATGCTTAAAGTGTGGCGGCCACTCGGGAGGGGGAACTACCAGTATTGTATCAGAAGTGTTTGCTGGGTGATAGCACGCTTCTCTTTGGCCCTGTGCAGAGCAACAGTATGATATCAATCTCTTGCTGGACTAGGGAAATTCTATGGAAATTGTACCCTGCCTATTCATGTCAAGATAGCTTATTAGAAAAATTAGCACAAAAGACAATTTCCCTAATCCAAGATTCCTGTTGGGTGACAGCAACCGGCGTTACTCATCCCAGCACCAGTTCCTGGGCTGCCTGACACAGATTTTTTTGTGGGGGCAGGTGGCACACGCAAGAGCATCCAGCAGAGCGCGCTCCTCAGTCCTGCTTTTAATCAGCAGCCTGGGAACTGGTTGCGCCTGGGTGGTTTTGTGGCACGCAAGCCCAGAAATTGAGTTCTTTATGGATTAGATATCCAGGGGTAACCTAGCAGCAGGCATGGGCCTGCTGGCTCTGTGGATGGAGGAAGCACAAAGAATGTGCAGAAAAGACTCTGACACAGGACTTTCCAACGGGAAGAGGAGCACAAGGGTCCAAGAAGGCAAAACGGTGTCTTTTGTCTTCAGCCACCCAGGAGTTAGGATGACTGTCAAATCCATTTGTACTTCAGTTGCTGCAACAATTCTTGGTGTGATTGTGGAGTTACTGGAACTGGCATGCCTGTTCCCTCGTGGAAATTCAAATGGATATGGTATAGATACAAGCAGTATTTGACCAGTAGGTTTTTGGGTATTCTTTAGTTAATTAAATACACAAGTGGCTATTTGTTCAGAAATAAGATGGTTCAGGATATACCTTCTGCATGCCTGTAATGTGACAACTGTATGCCTTTTTCTTAAGATAACACTTGGATTTGTGTGAAGAACTGCCAGTATGCAGGCGATCTTCCTGCAGAGTGATCTGAATCCAGAAGAAATTGCCAGAGTATTACTGAATAAATGCAGTTAATCTAATTGCTCTCATTATGTGAATGGTGGTAGGGAATTCAGCAGTTTCCCTGTGTTGGCTGCAAACAGCATTTACTAAGTAATACTCAGTGTTTCTTCTTGCTTCAGGTAGCATATGAAGCTTGCAAGCAAAAGGTATCCCTGGCATGATACTCTGTGTGTTTTCTCTCTAAGGGCCGCTTCTACAAGTCCGAACAGTCAGTCGAATAAAATGAATACCATTGTCTACCAGAAGCAGTTTCAGTCGGCAGCCGTGAGGATGGCCCAGCCGTTTCCTCCTCAATTCACACCCCAGGTGGGCAGCAACTGGCTTTGTGGCAGTGGGTTCAGCTCAAGAACTGTTAACTGCTCGCATCTCAGATTCTTGGTTAAGTGTGATTTCCATGATTGTGCATCTAGTTCATTTATAGAGTCTGGTTGCTGGACAAAAACACTTTCCTTCCGTTTTCCAACGCCTGTGCTCCTGAAACTGAGAGACTGGACAGCTCTGAGCAAGGCATTCAGCACAGGCGCTTCCAGGCAGCACTCACTGCAACTGAGCGTGAAACGGGCGCAAGGAAAGGAGCAAGCAGGGTCCGAAGGAAGGGTCCCCGTGTGCGCCTCAGGGCTCCGACAGACACGTAGGGTGCAGCACTCCAGAAAGGTCTCCTGTGCGGAAGGCTGGGCTGTGTGCAAGGGGGCAGAGGACCTCTTGTGCAGCCCCCACGCTCGTCATTCCAGCGTGTGCAGAAATCCCCGGTGAATTGCGTGCCGTCAGCCACTTGCCTGAAATGCAGCTGCGAAGCGGTATTCCAAAAGGGTGACGTTTTCTAAAGAAGTGTCCTTTAAAAGGGGCGCTCTTTCGGTAAAGCGCCGCATAGGGAGGAGCGAGATCTCGGGGGCGTTGCACATCCCGTGGAGGAGTGCTAGCTTTCCCTCGTCATCCAGAGCCTAGCTTTTTGCGTGTCCCTGTTTCTTGGCCTCTCCTAGAGGCCGCCTCTCTCTTTTCCCCTCCTGCCCACTCCCCACATGGTCCCCGTGCCGAGGCCGTTTTTATTCACCGCACGCAGCTCGGAGCTTGCCGCCCAGCGCTCCCCAGGCATGCTGGTGACAGGGCCTGCAGCCGCAGCGTGTCACTGGCCGGTGGCAGAGGCCTGCTCCCTGCAGGGCAGCCCCGCGTGATCAGGCTGGCGGCTTCCTAACGGCTAAATGTCTCTCTCTTTGTTGTTTTCTTCCCCCACGTAGATTCTCTCTCAGCCTAACCTGGTCCCTCCATTGGTAAGAGCCCCACATACTAACACCTTCCCAGCACCTGTTCAGAGGCCGCCGGTGGCACTGGCTAGTCAGGTGCCGCCTCAGATGACCACAGGCCTTTTGAGCCACCCTCGTTTGCCACACGTGGCCAGGGGTCCCTGTGGATCACTCTCTGGAGTCAGAGCCAGTCAGGCCCAGGCTGCGATGAAGGCTGAACAAGACATGAAGGTTAGTATTTTTGGGCGGCCATGCTGTGTTAACCACAGTCAGTCTCAACCGTTGGCAAGGCAAGGTGCTGCTCTTTGCTTGAGATGCCGATGCCCCGTTTAGCAGTGGCCACGCAGGGATGGAGAGCCAGAGCTGCGCCTCGGGGATCGCCCCAGTTGCAGTTAAACCCTGGAAGGAGGCAGGGACCCATTGCGCTGCCAGCGTCCCGGAGGATGTGCCTTTCTTTGCTGTATGTGTCCACCCTCTGTCCGCAATCCGGGGATTGCGCTTATTCTCGATGGCCTCCTCCCTTTAATCGAAGGGCATTCAGAAATACTTGGAATCGCTCGCGTGTGGCTGCATTTCACCTCATGACTTTACCGAAAAGCACGTGGAGACGCTTCTGGATGAAGCGAGGCACTCTTTCCCTCAGACGTGATGCACTCTGTGCAGGAATGCATGAGGCAAAGGAAATCGGAGATCTGTCAGGCCAGGTGGTTGCTAGTCAGGGTGGAACTTCCTCAGTTTCCTGTGGCGCTCCCCCCTGTCCCCCCCCCCATGAAGGAAGGGTCTCCCTGAGACCTGCACTTCTTGGCTGTGGCCTTGTTTTTGTTGTTTGTCTTCAGTCAACGCAGTAGCCGGTGCTTCTATTAAACGGATTCTGCTAGTTGTTGAAGTCCCCACTGGAGGTCTTTATGGAGCGGATGTAAGGGGATTGCATTGATTTATATATTTATTTGGTGCTGAAGAGGAACTGAGGGTTGGGCAGGAGCCCCTCCCAAAGCAAGTTCCATGCATGTGATGCACAGTGACCACGAAGAAGAACTAACCGTGGAAATAAAAAGCTGCTTCCAGTCGAGAGCTGAATTCCCAAAGATTGCATTCCATAAGCAAAACCCACAGGTTTTGCAACAAAGGTTAGTGCTCCCCAACCAAGCGGTAATAAGCAGAGATCTCATTTCTGGAACAGGGCCGAACAGCAGGGCTGGTCCCAGTCCAGAAATACACATTTCCATTTCTCTTTGGACTCCATATAAGACGTATTACGTGCATTAAACGGAACTACAGCTGACTAACAAAAGCAGACTCTGAAAGCAACCCTAATTCAGTCACATGCTGGGTGGCCTGGGCAATTAAAGCGATCTTAACACAGTGCTGGAAAGAAAACAGATTTGGGACCAGACCAGCCTTGCTGGGGCACCAGGTGGGGAAATTAGACTTGCCAGAAAAATCTTTCCTTTAGCTGCTGCTTCCTGCAACAGTAGGACCCGTGGAGAGCGTTTGAGGAACTAGGTGCAGAGGTCATGGCCTTTTAGTTAATACAGCTTCCGGTCACATCACAGAAAGTTAACAAATGTGTATCTCTGTAATCTTGCTCCCTGTTCCGTAGTTTGCTTGTCTCAGTGGCAAAAAGCAGCAGCCTCAGCCCAGCTTAGCGTGCTCATGTTCGGAGAGCATCGGGCAACATTCGGGTTTTCTCTCTGGCTCAGGGAAGATTCTCAATAACCAAGTGTTCATGACATCTTGAAGAAGGGGATCCTGGCCTTTTCTATGGCAAATAGCAAATTTCATTCTGTCCAATAAAATTGTATCTAGAATTTTGAATACCGTATGGAAGGAGGTGTATAGTGTTTAAAAATGCTTCAAACTGCATGTCTGGAAATTCTGGTTGCAGTTTCTGATGAAAATGTTTGTTTATAATATTTTTACCCGTCCTTAACAAACGCCTCAGGTCGGCTTACAACGTAAATAAAACATACCAATAAATAAACCCAACACATATAACAAGCATAATAAAATGTGACTGAGCATGACCATTAAAAACTTAGCTAAAATATTTAAGTACTGAAAATTATGATTGATCCAAAAGTTGCTGATATTAACAGGTATTTCTTTGGAGGCTGGTAGCTGCCTTTCATTTTTTTAAAAAAAATATGGTTCAGTGCTGGAAGTGTACAGCTGAATTGCAAAGAAGAAATGCTTAATTAAGAGTGAGAGCTGCCCCGCCTTTTCCCCCCTTTCCCTTAAGTTCCCGGTCTATAAAATACACATTTGATGAGCGGCCTGTTTCACATGAGTAGATGCCTTTGGACCAGTTTGCACAGTCAGAACCGCCCAGTACAGCTTATTCAGGCCACAGTGGGTTGCCACTTATCCTGGCGGGCATTTTGAAGGGTTGGGTTGTAAGTAGTTGAACTGAAAAACTTGGTTAAGGGGGAAATCCATAACATGGATATTGTGTTTTAAGTGTTTTTCTCAGCTGTATGTGGAAATTACTTTTACTGGACTACTTGGAAATATCTAAAGGCACAGCAGCTCAGTAGCATGTGCTTCCCTGATGCGGTAGAGACTTTAAGGGTGTAAAATGAAAGCTCTGAAGGACTTGCCCTCTTGTGATTGCCTGCTCACCACTCAGGCCCCCCAGATGTTCCCAGGTTTCTCATATCCTGCTCGTGAAGCCCGTAGGGCGGGAGAAGTGGCAGACGTGAGCATTGCCTCAGGGCCCCCAAGCCCCTGTGTTGTCACTCCTTCGGCTCACACACAGTGGGCTGCAGTGATCCTGCAGTGCAGGGCGGTGTCTTCATGCAGTAAAAGGTCGGGCTCTTTCCCTCGTCTTTTTGCGTGCAGGGTCTGACGGTGGAAAATGTACGACGCTTGGAACATTCTAAGCTGCCCTCAACATAAGCAGTAGTGGTGCTCGTTGAGGGAAATATGGCTGACATTACCTTGTTGATACAGTTGAGGGAAATAAGAGAGGTGTGTTGAGGAGCACAGAATTTCTTGTGTATTGGTTGCTGGTTCTGGTGGTGTTCAGCAGTGTGACCAGCCTCGCCTATTTTCTTGTACTTCGGCATCTGTGCTGGGAAGAGAATGTGGCAGAATCCATTGTGAGACCAGTTCAGTCAGGGAAGTTGGCCCCTGAGCTCGTGCTTATTCTCCAGCACCCTGCCCAGCAGAATTTCTCTTGGCAGGCCCTGATAGTACCATAGCAGTGAGCACAGGTCTCCTTGGTCGTGCCTCCTGCAGCAAGTGGTTACCTGCATCGAGCGAGAGCTGGTGTTCAGAGTGGAGGGCATTTTGCCCCTTCTAACTTCTGCACTGCCTCTAGTGGGATCTAGATCCATGGGAATTCCACATACCAGAATACAGTGCGTTGCCATGAGCATTTTTTTCTGGCATTGAGGTAACTACGCATATTGGGGGAGAAATTCCAATATGTATGAGGTACTATAGCACATGGGTACAATTTTGCAATTTGGAGATGCTTGACTGGGACTCTCTTAAATTATGAGCACAGAATAGATGGATGTTGTTTTGGTTTCTCCTCTGTTTAAAACAGCTTTCTTTTTTCTTAAGGCAAAGCAGAGAGCAGAAGTCCTTCAGTCCACCCAAAGATTCTTCTCTGAACAACAGCAGAGCAAGCCACCTGGAAGCAAAATACCGAAAGTGGGCGACAGCGGGAATAAAGCCCCCGAGACGATAGCAGACTCCTCCTCAGGGGCCTGTCCAGACAAAGTGGAGGAGAAGCAGAGTGCCACCCCTGCAGCAGCCCCAAAGCCTGTTAGGACTGGACCAATTAAGCCTCAGGCCATCAAGACTGAAGAAACGAAGTCATAAATGCTGTGCCCGTTCGTGTCCATATGGGGAGTGAACTGACAGCGGCACAAATGTGTGGCCCAGAGGGCAAGGCATGCGTGACCCTCCAAGCCACGAGTGGCATACAGACTCTGATGGGGATGGCTGCAGGCCCAAAGGGCCCGGGGATCTTGGGGCTTGTAGCTTCCATGCAGCCGCATGAACGAGCATGGCCTCTCTGCTTTCCAAGGACGCAAAATGAAAAATAATGCTCTTGAGTCGTCTTATTTTTCCGAAGGTATATGCTCTTCAGTTTGTTTGCTGCTGTTTCATTTTGGAAAGGGAGACAGATGGACAAGGCCATGCTGGAGAGAAATAAATTTGCTTTCATGTTGCTCAGCATCCCAAGAAAATGTTGGACCTTAATAATGCAGCGAGAAACTTTAAGGCAGTTGATAGTCACACAGAGCCATTGAATCACCCACCCCACAAAATGTCACTCTGTGTCAGACCCCTAAAAGGCAGTGTTGCTGCAGTTGGATGCGGTCCTGACCTCAGCTGGAAGGATGCTGTTCACCCTGTGACACTCTAGCAGCAGAGGGATGGAGCTGGGCGGACTCCCTCGAAGGGTTGCGTTGCCAGTCACCTTGCGCTCTCGCTCCGTCGCCCCGATCCTCCAGTGGTTTTCAGCTTATGTCTGTGTAGAGCAACAAGCACTTGACCTGGTGCCTCACGAGAGCATCCTCTGGAATGGCGCGTCCTCCTGCCAGAGCTGCATCGCACCTCTTCCTCGCTCACTGTGTGCTAAGAAATAGAATCAAGTCAAATAATGCCTTCTTAATTGTATCTTTCTAGTAGTATAGCTGTAGGGAAAGTACTGTACGATAACTTCTGTGAATGTAAAATATCCCATACCTGCTTATGATATGTAATTGTGATTGTGCTATAGCAGAGCTGTTTTAATGACGTTACTCTAGACTTTTCAGGCCATGGTTGGAAGTTAATAACAGCATCATGCGCCACCTTGGCTTCCTTTGCGTCCCCTTTGCCCTTTCCCCAGTACTTCTCTGGAACAAAGAGCAAACTAAAAGTCTAATGTGTATAATTTTGTTCAAATGATGGCAGAAGCTGGAAAGGTCTGTTGCTGCTATTGATGCCTAGTGAGATGCTATTGGTTCTTTTTATATAAATATTATAATTTGAATTTTTGGAAACTTAGCTGTGATGTCAGCTTTGAGAAAAGATATCCACTTGTACTGTGAGTTGGCATTGTACAGAAATTAACAGCCATATTGGTCTAGAAATGTTTAAACTTTTTTTTCATTTGTACAGGGGTAAGGCACTGTATTAAATATGTAAGGTCTTATTTACATGGGTTTGATTACAGAAACTAATAAAATATTCTCTACATAAACTACCTGGGAATGTCATGGTTTGTTACCCCAGTCCAAATCCCCTGAACAGGCACTGCCCGGGGAAGTTTTGGGGAAGTCTCTCTCTAGGAAGGGGTGGACCAGGGCTGATCCCCTCCCCATTCCTGCCTCACCTCCGAGCGGGCCAGTTCTTTGGATCCTGGAGGTGGGAAGAGGCTGCACTCGGCCCTCTCCGTGTCCCAGCCTGACCACCCGCGTTCCCTGCTCGCTCGGCCAGTCCCACTCCGGGGAATAGGGGCCCCGTGAAGGCCGGTCCGCTCCTGCAAGAGGGGCAGTTAAGCCACGCGCCGTCCTCCCTCGGCCAAGCTCAGGCCAGAGGGCCCGGGCCCGGTTTGGGGGGCCTCCCTCCCACGTGGGGAGAGGAAAACGCGTCCTCTGCCCGGCCTCCTGGAAAGTTATTTCGGAACGGATCGGAACGGGCCGGTGGCCTGCCTCACCGCGAGGCACCTCCTAAGGGTAGGCGTGGGGAGATCAAGAGGGCAGCCGACCGGCCCCGAGCCTCCCGTTTGCTCCGGTGGAAGGGAAACGGCCTGATCCAGGTCAAGAAGCCGAAGTCCGCTCTTCTTCCACCCTTAGGGAAAGCGGGCCAGGGCTGCGCCTTGTCGGCGAGTCCCCACCGCGCGCGCCAGCTGTGCGCCTGCCCGCCCGCGTGGGGCCGGTTGCCGGGCGGATTCCGCGGCCGGCAGCCCTTCGGCGCAGCCCCTCCCCCGCCCGGCTCCCCGCAAAAGGGGGGCCCCGCCATCTCCCGCAGCTCTCGGGCCGCCTTCAGTGCCTTGGGAAGGTCCTTTGCTGCCCCCTTGTTCCTCAGAGCGTCTCCCCACTTCTCAAGCACCGTCTCTCTCCTTGCTGCGTGCCTTTTCGCCTTTTCAGGCGCCTCCTGCTCGCCTCGCCACTTTTACCTTCCCTCAGAAATGCTGATAGTACTTTTTAAACGTGTACCCTCTCCGTTTTTGCACTCTCGACTTGCCTCTCCAGCGCCAGTGCCTTTTTTCTCCGCTCCGCCTGCTCTCGCTCGTCCTGAAGGCTTGCGTGCGTCGCGAGGCAAGATGGCTGCCGACGGACAGGCACCGGCTCCTGCGCTTGGGTGGGAAGCCTGTGGGGGGCCATTGGCAGGCCTCCACGAAGCAGGCACGCAGCCGGCGGGCTCGCTGCCCTTGCGCTGACTCTGGGGCAAGGGCCTGCATGCGGCCGAAGGCCCCGGCTTGCCCGGCTGCCCTCCCTGCCGCGCGGCATTCGCACCCCCCGCCCTTTTCTCCATCCCTGCGCAGTGCGGTGGAGTCTCCGCTTCCCACCCCGGAGGCGCGCTGGGGGCTGGTGTCCCACTTTTCCGGGACGGAGTCCTCCTGGCAGCCCCCTGCTCGCGACGGGGGAAGCCAAGGCCCCTCATGCAGCAGCGACCTTCAGGTGGGCTCCAGGAACGGCCCGGGGCACAACGGGCGCTCGCCTGGGGCGCTGCCGGCTTCAGCCCCACCACTGCCAGATCCTTGGACGCGGCCCCTTGACGGACTCGCCCTCCTCCGCCGAGCTCCGCACCCGTGCCAGGCAGGGCACCCTCCGGGAGGACACCGACCCGCCGCCTGCAAAGAAGGTAGGCCGGCGCTTGCCTGTCACCGTGCCTCTGCGTGGCCACCCGTGCAGTCACACCATGGGTGCAGTGAGTGCCTAGCTTTTTGTGTTGTGCGTGTTTGTCCTTTGTTGTGACGCTATCATGGGGACGGTCCCGCTTTGCTCAACGCAAGGTCAATACCTTGGGCTCCCGTGGGTCCCCCGTTGCACTGGGCAGCCTCACTGGAGCGAAGGGAAATGGTGGGAAGAGCCCCTCCCTTTCACGTGGATGCTGGGACGGGAGAGGTTCCCCGCCAAAACGCCACTAGCCGTCGCATCTTCCGGCAACAGGCTCCACGCGTGATGCACAGGGGACCCCTCGGAAGGAGGGTGCAGGGAAGCGAACGGCCCTTGTGCATGTAATCGATTGCTTATGTGCGGCATCTAGAATGCATTGTGCTTGTCAAGGACTGATGGTCTGGGAAGGGCAATGGACCCTCCGCACCATCGGTCGCCATGTTGAAGTCTGGGCGCTGCATCTTGCCCTGATGTTGTGAGTTGGTTGGTGCTGGTGGAAGGCATGAACATCCGTCCTTATCCATGCTAGCACTTTTGTTATGAGCGAGGAGAGGAGAGGAGGAAGGAGAGGGAGGGGAAGGGGAAGGGGAAAGAGGGGAGGGGAGGAGGGCTTCTGCCCACCGGAATGCAAAGGTGCTTCCATCTCACCTACAGAAAGGCATGCAAAGGTGCCTCCAGGGTCCCACCCAGTTCCCACTCATGAGAAGTGAAGTAGGGCCACTCAGTTGGCCAGGTGTCCATGTTCCTGCCCCACGCACTGCCGTGACCACATTCACGAAGCGCCAGCTACTCCTTGTGTAGGAAGACCGGTCTTAGGAGAAAAGCAGCATGAGTTTGCTTGTGCCAGCTGGGAGATGTGACTATCTCTGAGAAGCCAGACTTCCAGTGGAACAGGAGGGGCATGCTGAGAGCAGGTGACTGGGCCAAGAGGTGGAGGCAGAGCAACCCCAGGAAGGCCTGAATCCCGAGGAGCGGCCCTCCACACCTCCAGGGCCTGGGGAGCTTGAAGAAAGCCACTGCTTGGCCTGGCTGACCCGGGGCCGCTGAGGGGATGAAAGCACGCCAGCCGGGCTCTCTGGACAAAGGACGGGACCAGATCAAGCTGCGGGAGAGTGGGGTAAAAGGACATGGAGGGGTAGGATATAGGAATGAATAACATAAAACAAAAGGCCATCTGCAAAAGTCTGGCTGCCCCTGCTGTCTCACTGAAGACATGGATTAGTGCCGAGTTGTGCCTTCTGGAACGGCCACTCACTTTCCTGCCACGAAGCTGAGGGAGCAGCAGCAGTGTTAGAAAATGGCCGGCACATTTGACTGCAGCTCTGAGGTTCCACGGAAACCCGCAGCTGGCCTTGCCTGGCAGTCAAGTGCAATTCTCCATGCCAGAACTTGGCTGCTGGGACTGCCCCTTCCGCTCAGCGGAGGGCTGCCAGTGCTGGAGCTGGTACACGGTCGGTGACCTAGAACAGGGCATCGGCTGGAGGGGCTTCTGACAGCCCTCCGAGCAGCAGGAGCCTCAAAGGCCTCGGCTCCATGGCCTGAGCTGCTCAGTGCAACTATAATAATTAACCTGGAACATGGTCCTTCTGAGACTAGGAGGTGAACAGGAGAGGAAATTGCTCTCTCTCTCTCTCCCCCCCCCCCAAATGTACTTAGCAACCAGGTTAACTGCAAACTTGTCACGCCGCAGTGGTGATGCACTGCGGTTTTTTAAAATTGGAAAAGCCCCCGCCTGTGGTCTGCAGGGTTGGGAGTCCAGGAAAGTTGCTCACCCCAGTTTTGGACTACAGCTCCCTGCTCTCCTGGCCCTGACCTTGCTGGCTGAGGCTAATGGGAGTTGAACTCCTAAACATCAGAAGGGCACCAGGCTGAGGAAATTGGTGGTTGACAAAGAACAAACCAAAATGTTTTTCCTTGGTTCACTGAAAATTAAAGACCCACTGATCAGGAAAAGCTGAACTGAATTGATCCCCAGGTATCAAAAGACCAGACAGGTTCAGGGAAAGGGCTCCTGATGCAAGCATGCCCGGCCGCTGGAGTGCTGTGCGAGGCGTGGTCCAAGGAAATTCCCCAAGCAACACCTCGAGGGCCCACCTTGCTCGGGCACAAGCAACACCTGGTCCAAAGCAGCAGGGTAAAGAAAGCCAAGCTCACATAGCAAGACGAGGAGGGGATTCGAACGGATGCAAGCGAGCCAGTGATCTATTGATTCGCGATGCTCAAGAGATGGTGTCTGTGTTCTTAGCTTGCGTCCGAATTCCTGGAGAAAGCGAAATAGCTGTCTGGAATGGAGGGTGTGGGGGTTCGGTCAATTTGGGCCAGCTGTTCCACACGGGGAGCGGAGCCTTGTTCCCGAGGATACACAGCAACCAGAACTGGTGGCACATTATTACAAAACCTGTGACCACCTCGGTGTGGCAGACAGCTCGAGGGAACAGGTGCCGAATAAATCGCATAATGCATTGGCACAGAAGGAGCACACGATCCTCGTTGGCCTGTGAGGTCCGGGCCCCTTGCACTGAGTGCGTGCACAGTGCAGCTCCCGGCGGTGGGCTGCTGCCGAGCACAATGGATGGCCTCTTGCGCAGAGTCTCTGCAGAGCGCAGTCCAGCCGCCTGAAGCGTCTCTCTGGGCCGAGGGCCAGCACGGGTGCGAGCGGGCGCATCTTTCCAGGCAGGCGGTGTCTTGGCTTCTTCCGGAATGGGCTGGGCAGCTTTGGTCGAGGAGGCACGGCTGGAGGCTCTGCTCCCCAGTGCAGAAAACCTCGTTCCCCCTGAAGCACTGCAGGCAGCGCTGACCGAGGCGGCCCGAGTGCCCGTGGGGGCACCGTGCAGCATGACACACGCAGCTGCAGGGCTGTCCCCATAGAGCGGGAGGGGACACGTTCCGGACACCGCTCGGGGACGTGGGAGGAGGGGGGGGATTTAACGGGGGCGTGCAACAGCATCTCACGTCCATCCCTCTGTGCTCCGAGGCGGCGGGTTGCAGTCCATTGGCGGCTGACCTGTGGGGGTGAAAAGAGGGGGGTCATTCACGCCAAGGGCATGCCCGCCTCTCCGCTTGCCAAAGCACGAGTCCTGCGGGGGTTCAGCCCACGCCGGGGCTCCTGCCCTCTCTGACAAACTAGCAAGGCAATGCTTGCTTTTCTGGGTAGGCTCTGCGGACCATGATGGGTCACTGTGCTCTGTCATCATTTTCACCTCGCCCGGTTCTGTGTTTTTTCCATCTTACAGACTGAATTGCAGTTAAAACTGGCTGTGCTGACCTGAGAGGTGAAGCTGAGCTTCTTCAGCCCAGTTCCAAGGGCCTGCCTCTCTTCTGCCATGGCAGTCGTCTCGCGTTACCGGGCCGAGCCCTGATTCCGTATGCAGGACCCTGATGAGTGCGATGGGGTTTTCAAGAGCACGCTTCCGGCAGGCTTGACCTGTGATGCTGATGCCCCCCACCTGCCACACGGCCTTCTCACAGCTTGCAGGAGGGCTGCCTTAGGTGCACACGTGAGAAGGTCAAGTGTGGCTGTAAAGGGCACCTGTGCAAATCCAAGCGCTCTGGTCAGACAGCCCCTTCTGAACAGAGCTGCTTGGCAAGCGTGGCAAACCAGACGGGGTGCCAGGTCGTGTGCGAATTTGCCTTCAGGCACACTGGGAAGGGCACTACTTCCTCCCCCCTCCCCCCTCTCTCTCTCGTGCGCGCGCGCGTGTGTGTGTTATGATCTAAAACTTCTTCCAGAGATAACCAAAGGACCACACTAACAAATCCTTTGAAAGAAACTCACACCACAAGGTCAAAACTCTGCCCCAGAAAGGCTGTTGAAGGTGCTGGGTGGGACTTCGCATTCCCAGCCGCTGTGCAAAGGGCACTCGCCCGCCAGCCGGCCGACTGGCTGGCTGGCTGGATTCCCTCGCGCCCCCGGAGAAGGTGGGGCTTCTGCTGATGGGGCTGGCAACGAATCTCAATGTCCCGCAGGCCACGCCGTCACATCGCTGCGGTCCGTCGGCAGAACTCCGTCAGCTTCGCCAGGGCCTTGCAGGGCAGGATGCAGGTGGGCCACTCAGGTGTGGATTTTGACATCAGTGGTCCATTCTGATTGGCTGAGCACGGGCCTTTGATGAGGTCACACTTGTGCACCAAGCCCTTTAGGCAGGAGTTGCCGGAGGAATTCAGTCGGAGGAGTGAGTGAATCGCGTGTGCCAGGTCTGCCCAGGTGAGCTGGGCTGCCCGTGCGAAAGGCCCTGAGCTGGGCTCGGCCCCAACGAGGGGTCAGGGCCTGTCCAGGCAGGGGCCGGAGGAGCGAGGCTCCCAGCCGCTCGGGGTTTGCTTGGACGGCTGGGGCAGCGTGGCACTTCTACCAAAGCCAGTGGCCAAGCTAAGCGATTCCTCCCGAGAGAAAAAGCAAGCAGTGGTAGAAAGCAAGGCAGGAAGAGTGCGTGGCTGAGGGAGGGGGAGAGGCAGCGACTATCAGCTGCCCATGAGGGAACTGCAGCCCCAAGGGAAAGAGGGCTTCTTGCGGCAGGGACCTTCCCAACTTCTCGATGCTGATTTAACTGGACTGCAGGCTAACGGGTCAGGTCCTGCCCTCGGGGGTACCAGCTCGCCTTCAGGATTTCTCCAACGGCCCCACCCTTTCCCGAGGCCGCAGGGGCCGACTGGATTGCTGTCATTCCCTGGCGTCCATCCCACACCTCCCTTCCCCTTGTGAGGGACCCGGGGCGGCGTGCAGAGCTGCCCTGCTCTCCGTGTTATCCTTGGGTTGGATCCACTTCCCTGGACGGGCCCAGGGAGCCTCGTGGGAGGGGACAGGCCTCCTGCCTTGCCACAGAAAGCCCAGCTGCAGCACTGGCCGGCTTCTTCCCCCTCCCCCAGGCCTCTGCAGCTCCAGCCATGGGGATGCTCCTTCAGGGGCTTGTCTTTTCTGCCAGCAGCGACATGACCCTTGTCTGCAGGAAACAGTGCGTAAACCATGATTCCTGCACCGGCAACACCACTCGGCCAGTGTCTCTCGGCAGGTGTTCTCTGCCGCCCAGACAGCTTCCCCAGAAAGCAAGCAGGCGGGAAGCGTCAGCGCTCCACAGAACCCGCAACAGCAGCCAAGCAGTTCCCGCACCCAGCCATGCTTAGGACGAGCAGGCGGCTTTTGAGCCCTCCTAGACATTATCTTGCTGCAATCCCAGAATGGTAGGTTGGCAGGATGCTTGCAGTAACACAGATGAGGCACTGTGAATCCGCTGCAGAAGCGAGACTGGAATGGGACGCCTCCCTCTCCCCGCCCCCAAACCATTTTGCAGTATCGTCCTTCGGATGCCCGAGTCCCTGTAAAGCATCCGAGTCCCCAGAAAAGGCATCTGCCGGCCTGCTGGTGCTTTGATGTTCTGGCAGGAGCAGAGAGAGGCCCTTGCAGTGCAACACATCTGGTCGCTCCCCGTGCAGTCTCCAGCTCTGGCAGGATGCACCTGGAGCACATGTCCGCTTCGGCCATCCTCCACACATTCCCAAAATTGCATCCGGCAGGCAAAATGGGGCTGCGTCAAGGCAGCTTCTTGCGGAGCCAGGATTGGTGTGGACTGGCCACAACATGCTGTGCGTCATGAGCTGAGGTTCCTTCCTCGTAAAATCACCAGCCACAGACTGTTTCCTTGCAAACTTTCTTTATTGCTCCCAAGCACAAATCACCCAGAAGGCGGCTCTGAGCATGCACAGAGAAGTGTGTTGAAGCCAGTCTGGAGGTTACCTCCAGGAACTCTCCTTATGAGCACACCTGGCCCCATCCTCGCTGGAGGGGCTCTCTGAAAACGAGCTGCCTCCTCTCCATGCACTGCTCATTCAGTTGGGCCTCCCGTCTCTGCTGATGCCTCTCCATAGGGCTGAGAGCGGGGGCTCGTCTGCATCCGAGAATTCCTCCTTCTCAAAGATTGTCCTACTGGCTGTGCATCTTGGCCATTCCCAGGAACTGCCTGGCACCGCGAAGCATCCGGCCTTGAGATAATCACCTCCACATGCTGAATCTCAGAATCACGAACTGGCCCACCCTCACCAATCCCACTGAAATATGCTTCGCATTCTGATTCCGAATCATCTGGAATGCAGCCAGCAGTCCGTGGGAATGGCTGCCCAAGGCCACCACCCTTCTTACTCCCAGCACTGCGTAATCTAACGAAATGAAGGAAGCCGCCCTCTGAGTGGGCGACACAGTGCAGAATTCTGGCTTGCACATTCTGGGGCTTGAGTGGTGGTTTGCTGAGAGTCACAAGGAGGCTCCAGACACAGCAGCGTGGTGGTTTTCTGCCATTGTTAGTCTGTTATATCGTTTGAACCCAATCATGGTATTTCACCATGGAGAGTTTGGTCTTTAGAAACCATGATGAGGAGCATCAATTGGTTCTGTGGTTTCTCCGTACCATCGTGGTTTCCACAGTCCTGGTGTGCAAGTACCACAGAGGTATCTGGGAAGAGCGGTGACTGCAGAGGCCGCTCCAGCCTTCCAGTCTCTATGTATGAACCAACGTGGAAGAGGCAGATGACACAGGCAGCAAGTGATGCCCCTTGGGATTGAATTTCAGGGGCAGCAATGGATGGGACATGTGCCAACAGTGGGAGGACTGAGCAGGGAGGAGGAAAACCATGATGAAATAGAAATCATTTGCTTGTCTGTCAGGTAGATCATGGTTAAATCTGCAGACCATGGGAACCACTCAGGGTTCCTGATCATGTTGTGTGAATGAAGTCACTGTCATTCTGGTTGTTGCATTCCTTCATGGTTCAGTCGTGGGTAGCAAAGGTGGTGATATGAAGAGGCGAATAACTATTTGGAACAATGGATGTTTCTAAGGGCAGCGGGTTGGAAACAGAAGCAAAGTCCATGGGAAGTTCTCCTGCACGAGTCCCACTGAAAGCTACAGGAGGCTTTTCCACGCAACTCCCCATCATGTCAGTGGAAGTTGCTCAGAAGAACTTCTGTCCTGCACTGCCCACAGGGAGCCGAACGGCTGGCCACAGGGCGCTCCGCTCCAGCTTGGCTGAAAAATCTTCCCAGGACCAGCCTCGCCCATCAAATCACACACCGGAAAGCTTGACATCATAGGCAACCATGTTGAAGTTGTCCCAAGCGAAGAGCTTCCTCTCTGCTGGGTTGTAGTCCACCATGCTGCTGTACCCATAGCGGTTCTCAAAACGGAGGCTCAGCGGCGCGCTGGTCCCCGTGCTGGTGCGGTAGATGTAATTCACCGTGGCCTCGGGGGACGAGTAGCTGCTGACGGTGTACAAGGAGCCGCAGATCATGAAGGCGTTGGCCACCGACTGCTTGCGGATGTTGGTCTCCCAGGTCCGCTCCACCTCCAGCGTCTCTGGATCCAGCTTCGAGAGCATGATGGCCCCCCTGGCGAGCGCCGTGCTGTAGATCGCCCACAGCCCCACCTCGTCCACTGCGAGGTCAATGTCCGTATACCCGCCCCACGAGTAGGGGAACTGTCCGTGGTAGCCGGCGCTCGGCAGCTCCTTCTGAACAGCAACGGCTTCGGCCTGCAGGTCGTACTTCACCAGCGTTCTGGACTTGTGCCTCTGAAAATAGAGCGCGCCCCGATAGACCACCGCTCCGGTGCTCTCCATGGGTCTGGCCAGCACGTGTACTTTGGAAGGGTGGCCCTTCTCAAACTGCTCCGCGCTGTCGTACTCGAAGACCTGGCGGACATCCGTGCCGACGGTGTCAACCCTCCACGTCGTCTCACGGGTGTACGGAGGCACAGGCTGCGGGTCCTTCATCCACACGCCGTACTTGCCGGCAATGGTCTCCGCCCTTCGGAAGGTCACCGGTTCCCCAACCCACTCCAGCAGTCCGCAGCCTGTGCCAGGAAGCAAGAGTCAGGTTACTCGGCCTACTTGCAGAACATGGAGCAGCGCTCGCCTTCCTGCGACCCCAGACCCAAGCCCTAACCCGAGCCAGGAGGCGTGAAACGGGCATGGCCCAGCTTGGAGAGCACTCCTGTTTACATCAGTGGGATCTGCAGCTGCTGTTGGCAGACCACTGCCCTACAGAGATCAGTACAACTTACTCTGACTGGCAGAGGCCACAGGGTCTCTAGCTGTGGTCTTTCCCATCTTGGCAACTGCAAGAAATAAGCGTATAAATTGGCCAAACACACAAATAACAACAAAGTACTGCACTACAGTGGACCCACTCTAACAAAAGCTTGTGTAAAATAAACATTCCTAAATGTTAACAGTCCCAGTACATACCTGGGTGAACCAGTCTGAAATTTCTTTTCAGTATGACTCAGATAAAGGTGAATGGCCCTGGCTAGATTTTCCATCACCTCCGATATTCTGAGAACAGTCAGAGGAGCACATGTGAAGTGTTGCTTTCATTTTGTTAATCAGTGGACTCTTGGGGCTATTGCTGAGCGAAATGCAGGAAGAGGAAACGCAGCATCTTTTCTAGGTTGGCAGCAGGGAATGGAAGGAACCGGCAAGGTCTGTCCGCAAGGGAGGAAAGCCCTGGAGCCAGCTGGCCGACAGGAAAACCCAGGCTCTCCCCCGCACGCCCGTTTCCCCACCATCACCCAGTCAGGCGTCTGGCCCGGCCCCTCTGTCCGTGGGGAATGATCTCAGCCTCTAAAAAGTCATGGGAGACTGGAATAGGTGGCCCTGGAGATCCGTGCGCCCTCCGGACTTGCAGGGAGCCGGCCAGGTGGCTTTTCTCATTTTTAAGGACGTTGCTGCAGGAAAAAGTAGGATTCTTCACACAAGCGTTCATTTCATGCACCGCTGAAGTGAGCCCTGCAGAGGCTGAGGTGGTGCACAGGGTCACTGTATTTCCTTTCACCCTCACTACTGATGCTGTAATCTGGTGAGAAGATGGGGCATCAAGCTGACAAAAGAGGAGGCGATACTGTGCCACTCTATTTTTTATTTCTTTATCTAGTGCTTTTCTAACAAGTGCAAGTGCCTCGGGTCAGCTTACAAAAAACCACTCAGTTCCTACAGCAGTGGGCTCTGTGCCATCTCCTTTTGCCAAGGGTGTTGAGGACATTTCTATGCCACCCGCAGGATGGAGGTGTCTCCCAGTCAGCCAGACTGCTGCGGGCTCAGCCCAAACAGCTTCTGCAAAAGGAAGATTTCCTTCCCAGTTGACTGTCACCTGCTTGGCACTGGGGATACTGGAGGCAATTCACCAGGGTAGGTGTCTCTCCAGACAGGGTGGACTCATAAAGACAAAGGAGTCTTCAGACTGAAGGGACAGCAGCAGCTGAGAAGGAGATAAGGTTCTAGATAAGGTGAATTTAGCAGGTCACAGAAAGAACCCTGTGACAGGCAGTAGAACCAGAAGGCAGCAGAAGGCATCTGGCGTGGTACCTGGCTCCTTCGCTTCTGCGCTAGGGCGGCTGGGGGAGAGGCTTCCCTGGAACAGGTGGGATGCAGGAACCTCCATCAGTTCGGATCTCGCCTCTTGGTAGTCCACATTCCTGGTGTCCCACTGAGAACCTGTGGAGAGCAGGTGGAGAAAGCTTGTCGGCCTTTTGGCTAAGATCAAGTGTAGTATCTGTTCTTATCAGTTTAATATCTAATTCTTTGGCCAGGACGACTTATTTTATATTGTAAATTCATTTTATATTTTTAATGTATTATATTTTAATGTTTTGTGAGCCACCCCAAGGCTTCGGCGAATGGGGCAACATAGAAATTTTCTAAATAAATAAATTTTCTGAATAAAGCAAGCATGCAAAAGCCCAGAAATAGTGCGTGTGGAACACCGGCAAAAGGGGCGAGCCCTTGCGGCACCCTTGGGTGTTCCAAGTGCTTCCCACCCTGCATCCTCATCCACGTGACCCAAGAGCCACTGTCAGGTGAATGGAAGGTTGGGCTGCAGTCCCCCCTCCCCACGGCTGCATCTGGCTGGAGATTATTCAGATCATGTCCAGCACCGCCCCGGATTATTTCGGTCTAGCAAATCAGCCCGGCTCACATGCTGCAGTAAGCCGGCGCCCACAGGCGCGTCCTGCTCAGTGGCTCCGGTGCCGCTCCCCCGTCAGCGGGACCCTCCAAACAAGCCCACTGCCTCCGCCTGCCTCGAGCGGAGCACTCGCTCTGCTTCTGGCTTTCCTCACACACTTTGCTCTGGGCTTCCGCTGCTGGCTCCCGAGGAGACATCAGCTCAGCTGTAAGGCGCAGGCAGAGGCGTCTGCTGTTGAGCTGCTTCCACTGCTTGGAGGAGCCAGGCGGGAGCAACCTAGCGGCAAGCCCCCTCGCTCCTCCCGTGATGCACAGGCTGGTCCCTGCCTCTGGACTGCCTTGCAACGGTTCCGTGAGGCCGGCCGGCAATATGGTCCGCCCATCATGGTGGGAGAATGGAAACTCCCTCGTGTTAAAACACGTGTGCACCCCCCTACTCACTATAAAAAGAAAGCTGTCTGCTCTGTAAGAATCCATTATCGAGTTTTCCATTTCATTTCCATACTGTCCCATAGACAAAGCCGCATTCTCTGTTTGTGGGCTGGTTTTCTCCTTGCAGGGAGATTTTGAGATAGAAGAGTCTTGAAAACATCTGTCCTCACTGAAAAGTTCTTATAACCTCCCGCTGGTTTCCTGCTGCTTCTTCCCATCTTCTGTCTTACCAGCAAAGATTTGTTTCAGAAAAACAGAACAGCTTTTGCTTAGGAGCGCCCTGGGAGACTCAGAGGGACTTTCGGAGCAGGGAGAAACATGGAAGGGGGAGCTGGTGCGGTGCCAAGAGTGCTGAGCTGGGGCTGGCAGATCCTGGCTCTAATCCCCACTGGGCCATGAAGGTCACCGGAGGAGTTTGGCTCACTCACCCTCCCTCATGGGGGCGACTGTTGTGAGGATAAAATGGACCTTCCCCACAAGATTAACCAAGCCATTCACCACACTGTCTGACTTACACCTGACCTTTTTCTCGTTTAAAGACCCTAAAGCAGCTTACATCACTCTCCTCCTCCTCCTCCTCCTCCAGCTCTTGTCCCCAAAACAACCACCCTGTGAGGCAGGTTAGGCTGAGCGTCTGTGCCCGGCCAGTCAGCTCCATGGCCGAGCCAGATCACCTGAGTCCAGCCTCATGCTCTTCACCACAAACCACACAGGTTCTCAGGGGCTTCTCCTTCCGCAGCGGAAGACTCACTCCGCTGTGCGCTGCTGTTCTCTCGAGCCGCCTTCCCCAATGTGGTGGTGTCCAGATGTTGCAGACTTCAACTCCCACCAGCCCCAGCCACCATGGCCAGGAAGCTGTCAACTCTTAAAACAAGCAAGGGCTACAGGAGAGGGGCCTGTGAGTGCGGAAGAAACGCATCCATCTCCATGACCTCCTGAATCACTGTGCGCTGAACTGTCTAGCCAGGAACCAAATCCCTGAACTTGCCTTTTTCCTCCACTCTCCCAATGCCTTTTCCTTTTATGCCATGCCCTTTAGACAATAAACCTGCAGGAAAGTAGGACCTGTCCTACTTCGGATAACATAAGCCCCTCTGGAAGACGTTTTGGATGAGAAGTGGGGCAAAAGCGCTTTCAATATGCAAGCACACAAAATGCCCCGAAAACGACGTCAAGCTTGGCTACGGCTGCTCCCTTTCAGCCACCGAAGACCTGATCTTTGGGACACTGAACTCGTGGCCCACTGACACGCCCCAGCTTGGGCCTGAAGGAGTGGGTGAGGCACCCCGCTCCACAAAGAGGCCCAGGCAGACCCCCGTTCCCAGTTCTGCCATTCCATCGCCCCCTATGTAGCCATCAAGTGAGGGGGCAATGATGCACCGCCTCCGAAAAGGCCACCCCTGGAGCCGGCGGGCCCACGTTCCGCAACTTTCCCTCTGAGGCCCAGCCATTGCAGCTGATGCAAATGCTGTGGAAATGCAGCTTCCTGAGCCACAGGCTTTCCCACCATCTCTCCCCAGGCCAGGGTGTGCACAGGTGGCCTTGCGAATGGCCAGCTTTTTAAGCACCCCCTCCTTGGCCACTTCTGCTTCACCCATGAAGGCCATGGACTTTCATCCGTAGGGTCTGGCAGCCTGAATGAAATGCTGGCCGGGCTGGGGCAGCAGGGAGGAATCTCCGCACAGCCTGGCTTTCCATTCTCCCCCCGCCACATGTTGGACACGTGAAAGAAGCCCCCCCCCGCCTGAAGCCCTCCAGATGTTCCACAGCTGGGCAAAATGCCTATTTTATACAGCAACATCTTTTTTACATGAAGACACGCCAGGAGCGCCCGAAGAGCGATCAGGCGTGCATCAGCAACAGCAGAGCTTTCAAGAAGCGACGACATCCTTGGAGGGCAAATCTCTTAGCGAGTATTCGTCGCGACGGACAGACCAGAAGCCCTGGAAGCGCTGCTGGCGCACTTGCGATCCCGCCTTCGCAGCCCCGAGGACCAGAAACTCGCTTTCCCTTTGCTCCCTGGTGCCGGCGCGCGGGCTCCCCCGCCACCTCCCCGGAACGGCCGTGCCCACAGCGGGCCGGGGCGTGCAGCGGGTGGGGCGGGAGCGCCGGGCCCCTCGCCTCGCCTTGCCTCGCCTCCCCTCCGCGGGCGCCGGCGGCATTACCTGGCCGGGCGCCGCCGCCGGGCGACTCCCCCGCCGGCGCGCCCCGCTCCTGCTCCTGCTCCTGCTCCAGCCACGCCGGGTCCGCCTCCCGGGCGGCCGCGCCCCGCAGCAGGCGCCCGACGGAGGCCTCGAGCCGGGCCAGCCGGGCGTCCCGCTGCGCCTGCCCGCGCGCCAGGCCCTGCACCTCGCGCCGCAGCAGCGCGGTCGCGCCGGGGCCCCCCGCCGAGCCCTCCAGCA